CAAATAAAAAAATATTTTTGATTTTTAATCAATATTGATGAGAATATCAATTTTTTAAAATATGTACATTTATAGAATAAAAAACTATACTTGAATAATTGAGTGCTTACACAAAAACATAATTTCAATTATTTAATTTGAAAAAAATAATTTCAAAATATTTAAAAATAAATGATAGTAACTCGCTTAGATTTATGATAGTCACATAGTTGATTTTTTAAAAAACAAATGATTCAATATTTTTGTTGCACATCATAAATATGCTTAGTGGTTTAGAATCTCCAGCGTAAAACAAAAGACATTATATATATATATTAACTTATAATAAATATATTGAATAGATTTAAAGTTTATAGATGAAAATAAAGATTATATAAAAAAAGTAAATAAAACACAGGAGTTTCTTTTTTCGTCTTAAATATTTTTTTATTTATAGTCTATACATGGTTAGTCTTTGTGCACAAACCTCATTCGCATAGCAATCACCTTGTTTTTTCACATTCGATTTTTAATTATTAATTAACTATTTTAAAAATTAATTTTTAAAAAAACAAGATAAATTATTCGAAACACTTATAATAATAATAAAAAAAAATTGTGTTTCAAAACACTCCTTTTCTCCCCCGTTTCCACTTACGAATAAACAAAGGATAGTAAGAAGTACCATATAAAAATTTGAAAATCTATAAAAGAGCATATGTGGCCGTGACACACACTATCTCTTTCATCCTCGTTTTAGCTTTCAAAAACGAATAAGAAGGAATACACTCTATAACTAACATAACATTAAAATAAAAAATATCACGCTCCCTCTAATCTCCTGCTCTCTCCTCCAAATCCCTTTTTATCCAGATAACCATGATTATATATAATCAATGTATTTATTTATTTTGTAACATCATTAAATCAGATCCATGCTCTTCATATTCAAAATTAAGAATAAAAATTGGCTTTGACCATGGACAGAGGGATTAACGTTGTCACTCAAACTCACCCACAAGCATCCTAGCTATCGAAATAGGAAAAACTCAAAAAATAAAATAAAATAAAATAAAACATTGGTGCCCTTTTAAGTAATGTGACATCACAATCTTCAATTTTGATTGAGAGATATAAGTAATCAATTATAAAATGTGTAAACATTAAATATACCACGAAATCATTGGGTATTGTAAATTTTGTATTCAAATTATTTTTATATTAATTTACCATTAAACTATTATGATTTTTCAAATAAGGGCTTTTGTTAAAATAATTAACAGAAAAATGTTAAGTTTCTAATACAACGTGGTTGTTTCTTACAATTTGAAAAAAAAAAAAGGACTAAACGCTTTAAAATGGATGGAATTCCTTAATTAATTTTTTTGAAAGTTCAAGGGTAAAAATTAATACCAGAAATTATTTTCTGGTGACATTGAAACTACCTATTTAGTTGGGTGGTATTTTTTAAGTTTGTTCTCATGGATATTAAGTAGGGAATTATGGAAAATAAGTAAATTTTCAGTACGTAGTATACAAAATTTTAGTATTCAATTACTAAAACCTCTCAACTATAACAAAAATCTATTACTACGATTCTCGTAATTATTACTTCTAATCTCACAATGACATAAAAAAGGTAACAACATGCTAAAATTCACCTATAGTGTTTGCTAAATTCGCAATAATATGATAGAATGAATGGTGGCGATTGAAATTTGGTCATAAAAATATCTTTAGGTGCTCAATGATTTCAAACATCCATGGTATTATAGAGAATCGTTGCCACATAATATGAAAAGAATAATCACATATTTCGTTCATTTATTTTTAATATGAATCCTCTATTTTTATTTAACTTGGTTTCTTTATTTTAAATATGTTTTTAATTTGATCCCTCATGTTACGATTCTGTCATTTTTCCGTTAAATGTGGAAGCATCTCAAGAATAAATAGAAAAAACGAAAATAAGTTAAATAGCCATTTTTTTTAATTTTGTTTAAAAATATTTAATGTAAAAAATTTATATAATTAAGTAGTTTGAAAATATAAAAGTCACTCATTATAAAAAGTTAAAAATTTAGATTAAAAAATTAATTACCCTTCATTGAAAATTTTAAAAAGAAATGAAAAAAATTTTCAAAAATAAAAAAATAAAAGTGACTTAACATATTTTTATTATTCTCTCTTATGATAACATAATATTTTAAATACTCCATTTTTTTTTCTAAACGCCTTTCAATTTTTTCCATTTTGAATCTAATATTTTGTTTTCAAAATTTTTAGGAATTTTTAAAATTATAATTTCAATATATTTCTAATATTAGTCTATTTTTTAATTTCTTTAAATTTTTCTTTTATTTAAAAAATGAATGCAAAATTCTACATTCTTGACACGTGTCCATATTTAACAAAAAAAAGGTTGATGAAATCATTACAAAAGGACTACGATTAAAAAAAAAAAAAATCAAGAATCGAGGTATTATACAAAAAATAAAAATAAAAATATGACCTTGAAAGAATAAGGAAATGTGAAAAATAAAAAATAAAAAATGTGATTAATTCCAAGGTTTTAAACAACCGAGGACCCATAACATGTGGACGGATGCTTAGGTAAGGGAACCAAAATTCGAGAGGCACTCAGGCAGGGGAGAAGGTTCCGTGGGGCCCACGTTTCCCAAATACGGGGAGACACAGCACTGCACAAAGCCAATTTTTTCTCCACCATAAAACACACTAATAATGTCTCTCTCTTTCTTTTTTTACCGAACAAATTTTCATCTGGGAATATTGTCAATTCATGATGTGCTGACGTGGATCCCACCGCTCCCCAAGATAGAAGGAGACAACAGTCCTCAAGTGGCAGCAAAAACAACAATAATAATAAATTAAAGTAGAAAAGCAAGAGAGACCTGAAAACGTTCGGACAAGGAAGGGAGAGAAAAGAAAGGACAGCCAAAATCGACGCTGACGTGGGCCGTACTGCTCACTCCCACTTGTCAAGGAAAGAGACGTAGACAATGCTGCAACTCTTGTAGTTGTAGACACTAGACCCTATCTATCTATATCTATCTGTATGCACAAAAAAAGAAACAAAAAAGATTGGTCTTACTATTCTCAAAACACAATCCAAAAGCACACCGCTCCTTGATTCCTTCTCCATTTTTATACGCCTCTTTCATTCTCCAAAAGCCGCCTCCCTCTCTGTCACTATAAAACATGCATAAGCTTAGCTGTATAAGCCCAATGAATCACAAAACAAAACTGCTACTACAGCACACAAGGGAACAGCCAGTGACCCCAAATGTCAAGACATTTTTAAAATACTTGGATAACTATCGAGAGGTGAAAAAAAAAAAAAACTAGAATATTGTTTGGCCGATTGCCAGCCAATGCTATTATTTACTCCGCCAGCTTAAAATATAGTATTTTGTAAGATTTGGACTAATAAGTTTATACCTAGTCAGTTTCCTAGTTAAGTTAAATTCGAGTTTTTTTTTAAATAATTATATAATAAGGAGAGTTATTTTTATTGTGTAGCCCAATAGATTCATTGGACTTTCGATAAAATATATATATATTTTGTATGATTATTTCGTGAGAAATTCTCAATACTACTATAATAATAATAGTAATCAAATGATAAATTTTATAATATTCAAGTAAGCTAGTTACATATACAATAGTTATTCAATGAATTTACTTTGAGGAAAGAGATAGGTATATAAAAAAAAATTACATCAAGATCCATTCAAAATAATAAGAAGATTTCCACGTTTATTCAATTTTTTTAATTTTTTTTATACCTATTTTTTTCTCAAAATAGATACATAATATTATTATTATATATGCCATTATTATATAGCCACTAATTACTTATTGAGTATTATAAAATTTCTAATAATTAAACACCTTCTTTGGCCCACATCAGTTAGGTCGTTGTTTGAATACAAACCATTATCTATATATATTATATACAATTACCTTTTATTTTGTCTATTAAGGTTTTTTTTTTTTTTAATGGTGTCACCGTGTGAGTTCCATGCTTCCAGGGTGAAGGAAAGCACCGGTAATTAGGGAATATTGCTGCTCCAATTAAAAATTTATTATTCCAACCAATAAATAATAAATTGATTGTAAATTAATTCTTTTATCAATATATATATTATTTGAATTTTGAAATTGTATTTGACTAGAGAAATTAAATTTTATGGTTGTACTGTACGGTTTACAATATGGAATAAGGATGTTTGGTGAAACAAAAAAGAAAAGAAAATAGTACTCCATTAACAGGCGACCAAAAAGCAGAAACCAAGAACCTGTGTCATCAATTACATCTATCCTATCCCATCCTTTAAAGGGCTACGGTCTAGTGTGATCTATCTACGCTCCATGGTTCTCTGAAGACAAATGAGAAAATTTTAAGACAAGACCACCGATTTGGCGATTTCACATCAACACTGCTAGTACAGCAAAAAAGAGATCAATGATTGGGTTTGGTTGTCAGAACTGTTTAACAAGTGGATCATGCTTTAGGCCATAGAAAAACGTCTAACTACTTCTCAACCTCAAAATTCCCAGCGTTTACAGATGTTGCTCTAATATTTCATTTACTCGAAAGTAGAAAATGGAGTTATTAAGTAAAAAAAAAAAAAAACTAAATTGGTTATTATTAATGGTCAAGCAATCATCGATTGATAGACACAAGATAAAGAAGGAAGAAAACAGATCGCCGGCAGATTCATTTTTTTCCTCTTAAATCACAAAGAGAAAATCCTCTGCTGATGATTCACAAAATCTTTCCGGAATCCAATTCCGTGAAGAAAAAGAAGAGGGAAAAATGAAAAAAGAAAGAAGGAAATCTACATCAAAACTAACCCAGAAGAAGAAGAAGAAGAGAATTACACCAAATTAATTTTGTCCTCTCCTTGATTCTCTTCTTTTTCTCCAGCTTCAGATTCACAAAAGTAAACAGAACAGAGACCTTGTCCCTCTCTCTCTCTCTCTCTCTCTCTATAAATCTAAAGAAACAAGTTCAATAACTTTGTTTCTCGTCCTCCATTTCCATACTGATCTCCCAATCCAGCACTATCATGAAAGCAAGTTGTATTCGTAGTCACAGACTCCTCTGAACTCATTGAAAGGGTCTCCGGACGGCGGATTTCTTGCTTATAAGCAAACCCTTTCGGGGAAAAACTTGGGGTTAACCAAAGATCAAGATCGTTATGCTGCATCTTGACCGCCACTGGCTCTTCAGTTCCTTTTCTTTTCGGAGAGACTCTAGATCTCGAATTCGAGAATCTATAACGGTGAGATGGATTTGGATCCTGTACCTTCCATACGTTCGTACAGTCTACTTCAACCTCCGACGCTTCATCTGATGCAGGAGATGGAGATCCTCTGCCTGTAAGTAACTCAGGCATCGGCCGTAAAGTACCTCCTCGCAGGACTGTTTCCACTCCAGCTTGGCAGACGTGCCAGTTTCCGGTCCATAAAAGGCCTACAGCACCGTTTACTGGATTCACCGTTCTACCACAAGCCTCGAATAACAAAGATTGAAACAAAGCTGAAACACAAATTGGGTTTAGAAACTATATATCAGAAAACTTTAAACAAAAAGAATTGAAACAAAAGAGATGGATAGATTACTAACAAGGACGTTGGTTCTCGGGGACAGCAGAAATGAAGGACATAAGACCAGCTCGGCCAAAAAACTTGGCAACGAAAACTGTAGCATGGCCTTGAGCTTCAGGGCTTTCAATCCATTGTAAACACGGACGTAAAAAACAGTTCTCACTGCATCCCTTTCGAAGAACTCTGCACCCGTTGCAACTCATTCTTGCTTTTGGTTATCAACAATCATGTACGTACATGAACACAATCAAAATTATACTAGTGAATATTGAAACACCTCCCTGGTTAGTTAGTTGTTTTGGATGCAAGAAAAGGATGGCTTTGAGATCGAAAAAGGGGACGATAAATAGAGAAGGAAATGGAGAAATTAAGGTTGCCTGAGTAAGTAGAAGGGGGTATAAATAATGGTGAAGGAAGGATTGATTGATGGAGGGGAAAGGAGGGGAGTTGGGTTTAACTAGGGTTGAGTTAGTTTGACAGGTGGGCAAATTTCATTGGTATAGCCGCAGGGGAGTGGTTAGATTTGATTCCAAGGAATTGGGCACAAGCGGCTCCGTGTTTCCGCGGATGCTTGTGCCTCCACCGTCGGATTTCGCTTTCTTTTGTGCTGTGGTGATCTAAGTGGATATCGATTTCCTTTCCTTTTCATCAATTTTTTTTCCTAGCGGCGATCTGCTCAAAGAACTAATATAGAATTATATGATCTACTTGAAACCGGATCGTCAAAAAAAAAGTAGTGATATCTATCTTTGGCTTATAGATATTTTTATTTTCGAACTAAAAAAATTATGTTTATAGGTTTTGTAGTAATATAATAAATGAATTGGTTGTCGTATAATAATTAGATTTCAACTCATATGATAAAAAAAAATATTTAGATTTTATATAAATTAAAAAAATTATTAATTGTTATATCATATTAATATATTTTATTTATACTTTTTAAAAAATATTTTTTTTGAAGAATTGTATTTCAATATTTTTTTTTATAAAATAGACTTTAATTATGGGTATTTTTGGAAAGTGATTCACTTAAAATTGTGACTAAATAAATATTTTGAAACCAATAAAAATGGAAAGATAGATAATTTTTTTAAAACAAAAGAAGTAGTATTTTTAGTGACCATATAGTCATTGAGAAGAAGCCTTTTTCTCTCTCCTCATGGACAAAGACACAACGAAAATGAACTATAGGGACCGAAGTATAAATTACACAATGAAATGATTAAAATAACCCTAATAGTTGAAAAAACCACAACAAACCCTTTCAGGAACATTGAAAATTCATCTTGTTTTAATTCATAACACTAGTTTTCATGTTCCGTACCCTACGGGGGATGACCTTATAAAATATGTTTTTATATTTTAATTAATTAAGAAACTTTAAGTGTATGAAATTAAAACAATCAATATTAGGTTTAAAATTTTTTAGTTTAATATTTATTTTGCAGTATTTAATATCATAGGGGCATTTTTTGTTTGAATTTAAATAAATCAAGGAAAAAAAGTTAAGAAAATTGTGTGGTATTGAACAAAGATTATAAGAAAATTATAATTAACACTTAAAATTTATAAATAGCCTATTTTAAAATAAAATTTGACGCTTTATATTTTTCTAAAATATTTTTTATATTTCAAACGATTTATGATCACAAAATATTATTATAACTGCATAAATTAAATTGAAAACAATTACTAATCTTTTGATCAAAATTTTAATAACCAATATATATTCGATATTGCATAACTCAATCATTCAATTTTTTTTAATCCATGTAACATGTAAAGTAATATCATTTTTTATTATATATATGTATATATGTGTGTGTGATAGCTATATAGCAATTTCTTAAGTCATATCATATATTTTAAAAATAGTGATAAACTAAACTTTATATTATTAAGAATTAAATTTAAATCATAATTGAGGTATTGACCTATTTTTGGATTTTATTGTATGAAAACCAAAACAAATCAAACTAAGAAAGAAAAAAAAACTTACTTTAGTTAATGTACTCTGCAATTCTCAACACCTAATATTATATATTTTTAAAAATATAAAATTACGTGATAAAAAAATTAAACTGATAACTTTTTATGAAAAACATTAAAAAAACTGAAAAAAATAAATTAAAATGTAAAAAAAGAAAATAAAAGAAAAGAATTGAACCTAACACGTCAAGCCCATGCACGCTTTGGCTTGAAAACCCAGGCTCCCGCTCTGGGATGGCGGGGCAACCTACAAGCGGGAAAAAATGAATTCTTTGCCTCTACAACTTCTGACGACCAAATGATCCTTGAAAAATCGAGGGTCGTCTGTTTTGACCCTTAAAGCCCCTTTTTTTCAACATTTTTCATTGAAACCGCATCAAAATCATTCCAAAAACTACTAAACGCTTATTTTCTTCCTCAAATTTATTTTGATAAATTAAATTACTCAAAAACTGAATCAAATTTTAAAATTTATTTATCTATTCGGAGTTCGATATCTTTTTACAAACTATTTTAATCACAATAACTACAATGGATGATCTTCTCTTTATCAGGTGAATCTATGAACACCAAATGGAAAGTTTTTGTGGTCAGAGTGAGAGTGAAAGTGAGGATAAAGTTTTCTCTCTCCTTTTTTTTTTTTTTTTGAGTTTTTATTCTCTCTTTACATTTAAAGATAAAATTTTAAGACAAGTGAGGTTTAAAAATTTGTCCAAAAAAATATTAAATGCCAAGGATAAAAATGAATATTTTTTAAAAAAATTAAAAAATTTATTTTTTGTAACAACATCATCATCATACATGCCAAAATAACATGAAACGATGTTTTTTAGTCTTGATGAACAATATAGAACAATGTTTATGAATAGTATAACTAGGTCTTGAGTTATGCAAGTGATATGGTAAAACACCATTCTGTTTTTATTTTTAATTTTTTTTAATAGCACATGAACATCTATTAATGTTGCCACAACCATACAATAAATTACTAAGGTTGAAAAATAATATGAACAGGGTCTGCACGAAGTGGACAGGTATTGCACGAAAGCTCTAGAGTTATTTTGTATTGTTTTCATTTCTATTTAAAAAAAAACAAAAAATTATCTGATTTGAAAGGTTCTTTTATTATTATTTCAATATAAAACTGTTATTAATAATTTAAAAACTATAACCTAAAATAATAATATGTGGTGAAAAAAATGAGACCTAATGAAAAAAGAAATGTAAATATAATAAATAAATAAGCTAAATCCAAACCACTGTCACGCCTACAGCTAACTCCAAGTTCATTGTCAACCTCCAGAGACAACATCGGTGTCAGGTGACTGACAATAGTGGTTTTTTGCGTTTGATGTGCATTCCCCGACTTAACTCTTGGGTTAGCTTTGACTCGATCCTAACTTGATAATTGGTGACTGTCGAGTCAGTATTGACCCGACCTTTTAGCACCTTGGATCCGGCCATGACTAGAACCCTAAGTGCCCTAGGTCGCCGTATGGATCTCTCGACCCAGCCTCGGTCGCTGCAGATGTCATCTTCATCCAATCCAAGGGCAAGGGCCTCCTAAATCTGGTCAGAGCCTTAGGTGCACCAGACCACATGCTAGCCGCACCCTTCGGCACTCGGATCTGATCAAGCTAGACTCCTAAGCGTGATCCCAGTCCAATCACTTGCATCTCGAGCGTGATTGAACTCTCAAATCATAGGGTCTAAATGTGGAGCTAAGTTCTGAAATCCTATTGCTAGTTTTAATTTTTCTAAATACCTGAACCAAAAAAATTTATATTTTACTTTTGAAAAAAATAATTTAGTTTTTTTCTTAAATAAATAACTCAACGGTATCATTATATAATCACTACTCTCAGTTTATCTCAATATTTTTAATTATATTTATCATTTTGATCAATCTTTTTTATAAAAATATACATGTCTGAAATGAAAAAAAAAAAAAAGGCCAATTCGCAGTCAAATGAGCCACCTGGTAAATTTATATTATTTTCATTATTTTAGTTATCAGTATTTTGATTAAAAAATTTACTCGTAGTCAAAAAATTAATCAAAATAACAAATTGAAGATTTAAATATTATTCAAAAATATAATTTGAGAATCAAATTATTGTATAAAAATAATTTTTTTCTAATTAAGTGATAGGCAAATTTATCATGCCAACTAAAAACTAAATCTATATCGCACACTTCAAATATAATTATAGTCTTTATCTTCCTATTTTACCCCTGTTTTGATATGCCAATTAAGAAATAGATTATTGAAACCTTATATTCTACACATAAAACATAATCAATTATCATCATATCAAAGCCGGCAACATAATAGAAAAATAAGTGAAAAATAGAATGATTCTTTCTTCGTTTTAAATGCTTTTTCTCTATTGGGTAATAATGAAAATAATACAATTATTAGTTGATTCTCTTGGATACGTCATCCATGAAATCAAAAGGTCCCATTTTTTTTATATTAAATTCAACGAATCATTAAACTGGTAATTCCACCGTTCCCCAAGGGATGAAACTGCGATTTTTTTCTCTCAAACCGTAGAGGGATAGCTTTACGCTCATGTCAATTACGAAAATTTTCTGTCTGTTATTTATTTATTTTAACGATAAGGATATATGTGGAGTTCTTTTGAATTTTGAGTTAAAGCTGTCTTTTTCTGATTTAATATTGGATTAAAGGGATGCGTTTATATATAAAAAAATTCATATTTTTTCTTTAAATTTTAAGGTTAATGGTTCAATATGTACTTATATTATAAGATAATTTTTCAATATATTCTTGTATTCTTAAATGATCTAATTTTATCCTTAATTATACGATAAGTTTTAATGTATTATTCTAGCAAGTTTTTAAGCTAAACAACCATAATTAATTAGTCATGTGATTTATATATAAAATTTTTTATTTGTTTAGCTTGCAAGGATATTTTATAAATAAAAAATAATTGTACGCAAATCATGTTACTGATTCTAATTGTTTGGTTTGAAAATTTCATCAAAAAGATAGTTTAGAAATTTAACATATATTCAATAATAAAATTAACTTAATTAGAGATATAAGGATAGATTAAAAATTATTTTATTATTATACAGAGACAGATTGATCTATTAATCTTAAATTTTGAATCCTAAATAATAATATAGGGAACAAGCTCATTAAATTATCACCAACACATACAAGGTCAATTTTGACGACATTAAATGACGATGATCACAACGACCACTCCAACAGAATTTTGTCCAAATCATATTAATGTCTGGACAAAATGAGAGGGAATTAGCTTAATTTATTTTTATATTTTAGATTCATTTTTCACTTTGTCTCTATACTTTCTCATCTATACTTATATTTTAGGTTATTTTTATATTTTAGGATCCCAATCTAGTTACTTTCCATTCGAAATTGGATTCTCATGTCAAGTTTCATTAATTTGGATTCTTTTGTTAAGTTTCATTAATTCTAATGATAAAAATACACATAGTTAATTTTTTAACTAAAAATATGCCAACAATTTTGGATGAGTTCTATTTTTTTTTTCAAAACTTGTTTCATTTTTTTTAAAAACATTCTTTGATTGCTTAATTCTTCGTATTTTGGAGGAAAGAAATAAGTTTTTAAAGAAAAAATAAATCATATATAAATTTTAACATGTTAACTTTTTATTGTTAAGATATTACACTTAAATGCTAAAATTAATAAAAACCTAACAAAATGATCTAATTTTAAATAAAAAAACAATTGAAGAAGATCTAATCTGAAATTAAAAGCTAAAAAATGGAGTCTCAAATACTTCAAGAAAGGTTTGGACCTTTTAACCCAAAATAAAAATAGAATACTTCAAGAAAGGTTTGAAACTTTTTTAAAAAACTCGTTTTACAGTCATTTCAGTCATTATTATTGTCCTTTTCATCGACTCCCATTCAAACTCATCCTCGTGAAAAATCACCTCGTTATAACATGTTTTCCGACCTCGTCTATATGAATATAATACCTAGTTTTTTTCAGTATCATTCGTCGCAGGAGATGATTCTTGCCTTTATCATGGAAAAAGAAAAAATTGTACTAACAAATTCTATTACACCATTTTTTTTTGTCCCCTCAGAGGGTGAAACATCATGCGGCAAACAGTGCATATCCAACACATGGCTTATCACCAGTTGCGCGATGCAGAAGCTCAGGAAAGAAAACAGAAAATCCAAAAAAAAAATCTCCTGCGCGATTATATGATAATTAGATGTCAGTGACTGCATGTGCTGAAGATTATGATGACATGAGTTGTTGTCCTTATTAGCAAATATTAGATGAAAGAAATGAGTAAATTATAAATTAGTCCCTCTTGTTTTGAGAAACCAATTAATCAATCTATTTCATTTTAAAAACTAATCATTTATTTTTTATGCTTTAGTTCCATTTATAATTTAGTTGTTTAATCAATTTTTTGTTAAACTAATGATTTATTTTCTAAATTGATCTCTTTTTTTATGCCTGATATATTTTTCTCAATCATTCACTTTTTTTCTTTTTCCTTAATCAAAAATAAAAAAGATAATTTAAGAATAAAAATTATTAATATAACAAAAAATTGATAAAAAAATAATTTATTGAAGGAATTAAAACATGAAAGATTAAATAGTTATTTTTTGAAAGAAAAGATATTAATTAATTAGTTTCTCTAAACAAGAGGGATTAATTTATAATTTACTCTTAAAAAATTATGTTTTCTTATTTGACTTTTTTTTGTTTTGAAATTTCAAATCAGTATAAAATTAAAATTTATTAATTTCTTTTAATATACAGACTGATGTAAAAAAAAAAAGTGTTTTAAAAATCATCCTGATTAAAAAACTATTCTCGAGAAAAAAAGAGAGCGATTTTAGAATTTGTCAATTGTCTTGTCAAAAATGAATGTGCTGATAGTAAATCCAACCAGTAGCGCGTGACTTGGTGATGGCGACCCATGTGCTGTCCTTATTAGCAAATATTAGATGAAATAAATGAGTAAATTATAAATTAATCCCTGTTGTTTTGAAAAATAAATTAATTAATCCATTTTATTTTAAAAACTAATCATTCACTTTTTATGTTTTCGTTTAGTCTTTAATTTAGTTATTTCATAATTTTTTTGTTAAATTAATGATTTATTTTCTAAATTATTCTCTTTTTTATGTCTTATTTATTTTTTTATTCATTCACTTTTTTATTTTTCCTCAATCAAAAATAAAAAAAAAAGACAATTTAAGAATAAAAATTATTAATATAACAAAAATTTGATAAAAAATAAGTTATTGAAGAAATTAAAAAACGAAAGACTAAATAGTTATTTTTTAAAAGAAAAGATATTAATTAATTAGTTTCTTTAAACATGAGGGACTAATTTATAATTTGCTCTTAAAAAAAACATGTTTCCTTATTGGACTTTTTTTTTTAATTTCAAATCAGTATAAAATTAAATTTTATTAATTTCTTTTAATATATATACTGATGTAAAAAAAAAGTGTTTTAAAGATCATCATAATGAAAAAACTATTCTTGAGAAAAAAAGAGAGAAAGATTTTAGAATTTGTCAATTGAGATGTCAAAAATGAATGTGCTGATGGTAAATCCAACCACTAGCGCGTGGCGTGGAGATGGCGACCCATGTGCTGTCCTTATTAGCAAATATTAGATGAAAGAAATGAGTAAATTATAAATTAATCCCTGTTGTTTTGAAAAATAAATAAATTAATTCATTTTATTTTAAAAACTAATCATTTGCTTTTTATGTTTTCGTTTCATCTTTAATTTAGTTATTTCATAATTTTTTTATCAAATTAATGATTTATTTTCTAAATTATTCTCTTTTTTATGTCTTATTTATTTTTTTATTCATTCACTTTTTTCTTTTTCCTCAATCAAAAATAAAAAAAGACAATCTAAGAATAAAAATTATTAATATAACTAAAAATTGATAAAAAATAAGTTATTGAAGAAATTAAAAAAAGAAAGACTAAATAGTTATTTTTTAAAAGAAAAGATATTAATTAATTAGTTTCTTTAAACAAGAGGGATTAATTTATAATTTACTCTTAAAAAATTATGTTTTCTTATTTGACTTTTTTTTGTTTTGAAATTTCAAATCAGTATAAAATTAAAATTTATTAATTTCTTTTAATATACAGACTGATGTAAAAAAAAAAAGTGTTTTAAAAATCATCCTGATTAAAAAACTATTCTCGAGAAAAAAAGAGAGCGATTTTAGAATTTGTCAATTGTCTTGTCAAAAATGAATGTGCTGATAGTAAATCCAACCAGTAGCGCGTGACTTGGTGATGGCGACCCATGTGCTGTCCTTATTAGCAAATATTAGATGAAATAAATGAGTAAATTATAAATTAATCCCTGTTGTTTTGAAAAATAAATTAATTAATCCATTTTATTTTAAAAACTAATCATTCACTTTTTATGTTTTCGTTTAGTCTTTAATTTAGTTATTTCATAATTTTTTTGTTAAATTAATGATTTATTTTCTAAATTATTCTCTTTTTTATGTCTTATTTATTTTTTTATTCATTCACTTTTTTATTTTTCCTCAATCAAAAATAAAAAAAAAGACAATTTAAGAATAAAAATTATTAATATAACAAAAATTTGATAAAAAATAAGTTATTGAAGAAATTAAAAAACGAAAGACTAAATAGTTATTTTTTAAAAGAAAAGATATTAATTAATTAGTTTCTTTAAACATGAGGGACTAATTTATAATTTGCTCTTAAAAAAAACATGTTTCCTTATTGGACTTTTTTTTTTAATTTCAAATCAGTATAAAATTAAATTTTATTAATTTCTTTTAATATATATACTGATGTAAAAAAAAAAGTGTTTTAAAGATCATCATAATGAAAAAACTATTCTTGAGAAAAAAAGAGAGAAAGATTTTAGAATTTGTCAATTGAGATGTCAAAAATGAATGTGCTGATGGTAAATCCAACCACTAGCGCGTGGCGTGGAGATGGCGACCCATGTGCTGTCCTTATTAGCAAATATTAGATGAAAGAAATGAGTAAATTATAAATTAATCCCTGTTGTTTTGAAAAATAAATAAATTAATTCATTTTATTTTAAAAACTAATCATTTGCTTTTTATGTTTTCGTTTCATCTTTAATTTAGTTATTTCATAATTTTTTTATCAAATTAATGATTTATTTTCTAAATTATTCTCTTTTTTATGTCTTATTTATTTTTTTATTCATTCACTTTTTTCTTTTTCCTCAATCAAAAATAAAAAAAGACAATCTAAGAATAAAAATTATTAATATAACTAAAAATTGATAAAAAATAAGTTATTGAAGAAATTAAAAAAAGAAAGACTAAATAGTTATTTTTTAAAAGAAAAGATATTAATTAATTAGTTTCTTTAAACAAGAGGGATTAATTTATAATTTACTCTTAAAAAAATATGTTTCCTTATTGGACTTTTTTTTTTGGAAATTTCAAATCAGTATAAAATTAAATTTTATTAATTTATTTTAATATATATATTGATGTAAAAAAAAAGTGTTTTAAAGATCATCATGATGAAAAAAACTATTCTTGAGAAAAAAAAGAGAAAGATTTTAGAATTTGTCAATTGAGATGTCAAAAATGAATGTGCTGATGGTAAACCCAACCACTAGCGCGTGACTTGGAGATGGCGACCCATGTGCTGTCCTTGTTAGCAAATATTATATGAAAGAAATGAATAAATTATAAATTAATCCCTCTTGATTTGAGAAATAAATAAATTATTTTTTTTAAAAAAAAACCAATCATTTGCTTTTTACATTTTAGTTTCGTCTTCAATTTATTTGTTTCATCATTTTTTTTAAATTAATGATTTATTTTCTAAACTATTCTCTTTTTTATGCTTTATATATTTTTCTCATTCATTCACTTTTTTTTTGTTTTTCTTAATCAAAAATAAAAAAGATAATTTAAGAATAAAAATTATTAATATAATAAAAAATTGATAAAAAATTACTTATTGAAGGAATTAAAGCATGAAAGAATAAATAGTTATTTAAAAAAAAATTAATTAATTAGTTTCTGATAACAAAAGGGACTAATTTCTAATTTACTCTTAAAAAAACATGCTTACTTATTTGATTTTTTTTGTTTCAAAATTTCAAATCAGTATAAAAATAAATTTTTATTAATGTTCTAAATTAAAAATTTCAATTTTATTAACTTCTCTTAATATACAGACTAAAGTAAAAAACAAAAAAGTGTTTTAAAGATCATCCTGAAGAAAAAAACTATTCTTAAAAAAAAAAAAAAAAGAAGAAGAAGAAGAAGAAGAAGAAGAAGAGAGATTTTAGAATCTGTCATGTCAAAAATGAGTGTGCTGACTGTAAATCCAACCACTGTCGCGTGACTTGGAGGTGGCGACGCATGTGCTGTCCTTATTAGCAAATATTAGAGGAAAGAAATGAGTAAATTATAAATTAATAACTTTTGGTTTGAGAAATAAATTAACTAGTCTATTTTGTTTTAAAAACTAATCTTTTACTCTTTATGTTTTAGTTTTGTCTTTAATTTAGTTGTTTCATCAATTTTTTGCTAAATTAATGATTTATTTTCTAAATTGTTCTTTTTTATGCTTTATATATTTTTCTCATTCATTCATTTTTTTCTTTTTACTTAATCAAAAATAAAAAAAGATAATTTAAGAATAAAAATTATGATATAATGAAAAATTGATTAAAAAAAACGTTATTGAATGAATTAAAACGTGAAAGACTAAATAGTTATTTTTTGAAAGAAAAAATATTAATTAATTAGATTCTCTAAACAGGAGGGACTAATTTCTGATTTACTCTTAAAAAAATATGTTTCCTTATTTGACTTTTTTTTCTTGTTTTGAAATTTAAAATCAGTATAAAAATAATTTTTTTAATGCACTAAATTAAAGTTTTAAAATTTATTAATTTCTTTTAATATATGGACTGAAGTAAAAAACAAAAAAAGTGTTTTAAAGATAATCCTAAGAAAAAAACTATTCTCAAAAAACAAAAAAAGAAAAAAGGAGAGAGAGAGAGAGATTTTAGAATCTGTCATGTCAAAAATGAGTGTGCTGATGGTAAATCCAACCACTAGCGCGTGACTTGGAGATGGCGACCCATTGGCCGTTGGATTGGAGATGTCACGCTATTGGTGTCCGCGAACGTGGCGTCCTTATCCTTTCTGTCAATCGTGTCGCCTTCCAACGAGCAAGTTGCAAGAGTTCGTATTCATACCAAGTTTTCATTTATTTTACTTTGTTTTATTTGGTGACTTGAAAATTAATTAAAAAATGGGACGATAGTCCAATTGAATTCCTCACCCATTGGCCATTTTCAGCCGGCTCGTTTACCCCTTTAACGGTTCAAGTCTTTATCTCTATCCACGTGGACAATGCACAAACGGGTGAAATTCACCCCTCTCTTTATGTATATAATATAAAATAAATCTTATATTATTAAACTTTAAAATAAACTAGTTCTTCTGTCTAATATCTGATAAACAATTAACAAATATAGATGAAAAGATGACACGTAGTAAATAAAAGAAAGGATGCAACAAAAATGGCTCAAGCAACTCATGTTACTACATTTCGTATCACTGACGGAATAATTACACTATAAATAAATTAATTTTTAACATTTTCTTAATTAAGTATATAAATTTTAATTTTATTTATTTGTATGTATCAATTTTTTAAACAATCAAATAATTATTTTTTGTTTAATTTTTTTATTCTGTTATTTGATGACGTGTCCTTGACTCTAAACTATAAATTTTGATTTTTCTTTCTTTTCATTCTTGGAGGAAAATTTTCCTCCAAATTGTTTTGTTATTTTCTACATTTGTTATAGTAAAAATCCAAACTATAATTATATCCAAAAGTTAGAAAAAAGTAAAATAACGTTGGAGATATAGTTTTTGTAAAACATAAAAGGTCAAAATCATAATTTAATAATTTAAAATAAAAAATACATCATCAAATAACGAAACAATAGTTAGAAATTAGACAAAAAATATTTGATTGATAATTTTAAAAACATGAATATATTTAAGTAAAAAATTAAAATTTATATACTTAATTAAAAAAATATTAAATATTTAAATGCAAGTATCGCTTTAATGGATACATATTATTATTATTTTTTTTTGTGAAATTTCTGGTCTAGACCTATAATGGCTGGTTCACATTTACCATTCAAATTTCATCGAATAAGGATTCTGGGACCAATTGCCATTGTACTACGTATCATGTAAGCAGCCATAGGAACTGCTTTGATGGGACCTTTGCATCCATCCAGTAACAAAGCAACGAAGCTAAAAAGCGAGAAAAATTTCTGTATAAGAACAAACAACAACTCAAATCATGAAGAAAATACGGACGTATCTAAAGATTCCGATTTGGGGGGTCATCCAGGAAAGACAATGTGGATGAGCTTCAAACCTGTTTTCCGTCGCTAAATGATGGTGGGTGGCACCAAAGTCCGGTGGTTCGTGCACCGCAGCGTATCAATTACTGCATGTTTCTTTTCTTTTTCTTACATCGATAATTGTACCAGTTTTCGCATCGCATCGTTCATCACCTTTTGAATTAATTTAATGTTAAAATATGTTTAATTTTTTTTATCGGTTAATAAACTGATTTTTTAGTCCAATTCAGTTCGAACATGGTAATACTAAAATATAATTATAACTAATTATTTATAAATAATGAAAAATAAAATTTGATATTTATCGAATCAAAACAATTTTTTATCACTAAATCACATTTTTTTTTAATGATTATTACATGCTATCTTTTAGTAGAAATAGTAAAATGTCAAGGACAGTTAGGCCAAAATGTATTTACCATGTTGAATCAAATCAAGATGCCACGCACATTAACTATGATGATCCATGATACGAGATTTTTTTTAAAAAAAAAAGGAAAGGGAAAAAATCAAAACCAAGGAGACGCATTATTCCTCAATCAGTGGCTAACTTTAGGGTTTTTTTTTTTTTTTTTAATTACGAAAGTAATGATATTTTTAGATTAATTTATATATATCAATTGAAATTAAATTCTTTTTTTCGTACAATCTTAAAAACATATTTCAAAATTGATTTAATACATGAAAGTTTTTAATAAAATTTTCTGAATATTAATTCTAAAATTTGAATTAAAAAATCAAAAAATAAAACAAATTTCTTTTGCTAAACTTTAGTGATCCCCGTTAAGAAAGCATAAGCTTTACAGGCTGTTTCACTAGGTGTTTGGAGAGGCAACCATAACATATTAATCCGTCAGTAAGTAAACATTGATTTACAGATTTAGTTTTAAAATTCGATTTTTGTAATTAATATTTTTAAGATTTGTTTTAAAAATATCTAAAATCGTATATTAGAAGAACGTTTCTCAATTATATATATATAAAAGAATTAATCTCGAGATTGTAAAAACTGATTCGAAAACGTCTGTTGCTGCTGAAAAGAAAGCGTTTTGAGAGGCATTGTAGCACTAATTGACATCCATCATTTTATGCGTCAAAAGCCCAATCAATTCTCCAAGTGGTCCATTTCATCCACTAAACGGAGGAAAAGAGATTTCAAACTCTACAGTAACAATCATTGTGATAGTTCCTCAACTCCCTTTGCCTTTCAAGTTTCAGCTTCTTCAAGATTTGAAAGTTCGGGCAGAGAGCCATGGCACAGCATGGTGCGCGACTGGTCTTTCCTATAGATGTCAAAAAGAAGCCATGGGAGCAGAAGCTTCCACTTCACAACCGGTGGCACCCAGAAATACCACCGGTCGCGGAGGTAACGGTGGGAGAGCTTTTCAGAGTTGAGATGGTGGACTTCACTGGAGGTCGTATCACAAAGGAATACTCCGCAGAGGACATCAAGAACGCTGATCCCTCTACTGTGAGTTCTACCTAGCTTAGCTTCTTTCTACTTGTATATTTAAGCATCCGGAATTTCATAAATTTCAAAGACCAAACGAATGAAGTTAGTTATATATATATATATATATATATATGGAAGTCCGACTTCAAACATAGCAGCAGTCGTAACTCCCAGTTTGATACGAATTAGATATAAATGGGTCCTCAAATTCACAAGCAATTACAATGAGCATCATCTTCTGCTATTAATCATTTTGCAGCTACAGAACCTGAATCATGCATCCCTTAAATACCCTGTTTAATTTAAAGTAGATATTGTTATTGAACAATATAAAACTACTCATAGAGCCATTGTAGGACTAAGATGGTTATTTGTCACAGTATCATAAGTTTGATGACTAAACAGTCATAAAGTCGAACCTCACTGTCCCATTTTTTTTTCATAATTAAATACAAAATAACGACGAATCTGTGTAAATTTAAAACTAAAAGGGTTTTTATCTAAAGAGTATATTAAAAAATAATATAAATTTATTTTTACAACTTTGTTTAGATTTTTATTTGAAAAAGTGTGTTAGAAAGTGATAAAAAATTTTTTTACAACTTTGTTCCAATGACATAAGTTACTAGGTTGAGATGGTTTTTTAGAGTCAGCTCAGCTTAGTATGTTTTGTTTGTCCTATGCTGAAACTTGAAAGGAGTATAAGGGGGACCATGACAAGAAAAAATTGCCACTCCCAATAAACTCATTTGTCATCGACTCCTACTAATTATACTGATAATCAATTCCTCTTCTTTCGGAAAGATTTTGTTTCGGTAACCAAAGTTTACAACAAAATATCCCATTCCCAAGCTCTCTGCATTTCCAGTAGTGCATCTATGGCTCCTTCAACCCCTAGACTAGTGGTGCCAATAGACTTGAAGAAGAAGCCTTGGGAGCAAAAACTCCCTCTTCACAACCGTTGGCATCCCGAAATACCACCGGTTGTAGAGGTTAAAGCTGGTGAGGTCTTTAGAGTAGAGATGGTAGACTGGACTGGAGGTATGATCAAGGATAATGATTCAGCAGTTGATTGCAAAACCATAGACCTCTCATCTGTAAGTAGGAGTATTAGTTTCAATTTATTTGAAAACAAAACCCTTCCTCTAACTCTAGAATCTAGATTGCAGATTTATATAAATATGTTCAACACAAACTAATACAAGAAGTAGTAGTGCCCAGGTAGCAAAACATGTGTAGAAATCGAGAGAGCTGCTAATGATTAACTTCATGGTCAGAAGAAACTGCATAATTAGAACATTATGTGAATGATTGTTGACCATTGTTTGTTTGGAGACTGGTTAGGTCCATTATCTCAGTGGCCCAATCAGAGTTTTGGACGAGGATGGGAATCCAGCAAAGCCAGGTGATCTTCTTGCTGTTGAAATATGCAACTTGGGTCCTCTACCTGGAGATGAATGGGGCTTTACAGCTTCATATGACAGAGAAAATGGAGGCGGTTTCTTGACCGACCATTTTCCTTGTGCAACCAAAGCTATTTGGTATTTTGAAGGAATATATGCCTATTCGCCTCAAATACCAGGTATATGGATCCTGCTTAAAATCTCTATCGGTGTCTTTGCAAAATCTGGAACCAAAATTTGTAATAATAGCCATAACATGAAAACTAGTCTGTATGTGCTAATTGCATAATTCTCTACGCTTACAGGGGTCAGATTTCCAGGCCTGACTCACCCTGGAATAATTGGAACTGCACCATCAAGGGAACTCCTCAACATATGGAATGAAAGGGAGAGAGAAGTGGAAGAAAATGGGCTCAAACATTTTAAACTATGTGAAGTTTTGCATTCAAGACCACTGGCAAATCTACCATCAACAAAGGGCTGCCATCTAGGAAAGGTATAATAACATTACACGGCTGTGGATGTGGAAACATACCATATAAGACTCTTGGTTCTGCTCTCCCAGCAGATTACACAAGTAAATATTTCTAGAACTTTGATCAGTGACAGCCCAGGGATGCTGATAATGTAGCCAACTTACATGAATATTTTTATGCTAACGTTGCGAGCCAACTATGGACACTAGGGTGGGAAGGGAACTAAACTAAGTACTTCTGTCCCCAAGTAACTATCCTAACAGGTGGTACTCATGTGTAGATCCCAAAGGGAACTCCTGAGTGGGAAAAGATAGCTATTGAGGCAGCAAGGACAATTCCAGGAAGAGAAAATGGAGGAAATTGTGACATTAAAAATCTCAGTAGAGGTTCAAAAGTGTATCTTCCAGTATTCGTAGAAGGAGCAAATGTTAGTACCGGTGACATGCACTTCTCTCAGGGTGACGGTGAAATTGCCTTCTGTGGGGCAATTGAGATGAGTGGTTTCCTAGAGCTCAAGTATGTTTCCTTTTCCATGTCCAAGCATTTTCTGTATTCTTGTTGCTAACATTGCTCAGAAAAAGCATTTAAGATTGTTCAATGATTATTCATCTTGCGCAACAAAACATGCAAGTACATTTTGGAATTTACCTCTTCTAAAAAATATCTATGGGAATATTTGGTAAACAGATTTTAGACGATTTGTTGGAATGTAATTAGTGGGAATGCGATATTTGTTTGATTAAAAATAAATTATAGAAATTTCATTTTCTAATAATATGTAATTATTGTGTTTGGTTCATTATTGAGAATTCACCATAAATGCAAATGAGTTTATCATTTTACTCTTTAAAAATTGAAGTATCTAATTTAAACATAAGATATTAGTCTTTTTTAAGATGAGTAAATTATAAATTAGTTTCTCTTGTTTCGATAAACGAATTAATTAGTCTTTTTAGTTTTTTAAATTAATTATTTAGTTCTTTTAACCAGTATTGATCGACTAATTTAATTTTTTTTATTTTATAAAAAAAATTATTAATCTTTTTATATTTTTATTTATTTATTATTACTTAAAATAAAAAATCAAATAATTGAAAAATAGCAAAACAAACTAAGTAATTAGTTTTTGAAACAAAAAGAGCTAATTAATTCATTTCTCGAAGCAAGATGAACTGATTTATAATTCACTCTTTTTAAGATTAACACACGTATTACTTATGTTTAAAACTAAAAAAAAAAAAAAAATTAATTCAATACTAAATTGAACTTTATAAAATTATAACTACCAAATAAAATAACACATCTACTAACAAATTTCATAGCATATCTATTGTATTAATCATTTTGGCATTAGACTAAAAATACGGAAATATATATTACGCGTTCAAATTCATTTCCCAACAAATACATAAATTAATTATCTAAATTATTTGTGTTATTCTTATTAAAAAAAGAGAGTGTGCTAGTCAATTTATAATAAAAGAAGAGGGGCATTTAAGTTAAAAAAAATATTAAATGCTTTGGCAACTCAAATTCTAAAATCGAAATCACTTTTCCAGCTTCCTAAGAAATCTAATATTTTACAATATTTGAAATTTCCGAGAATTTGAGATTTTTCAGTTTATCAAACGCACTTTACAATACTTGATATCTTGAATTGTTTTTCTTAGGTAATCTTGAACATCCTCGCGCCAAACGCTTTGCATGTACCACTTGCCTTTCCTCATTGCAGATCATTTTTCTGGTCAATATATATATATATATATATTCACAGTTTATCCAATGTTGCACTTGTGATTTGTGTATCAGGTGTGAGATCATAAAGGGTGGAATGAAGGAGTACCTGACCCCAATGGGGCCAACTCCTCTTCATGTGAACCCAATCTTCGAGATTGGCCCTGTGGAGCCAAGATTTTCAGAGTGGTTGGTGTTTGAAGGGATCAGTGTAGATGAGAGCGGAAGGCAGCACTTCCTTGACGCAAGTGTTGCGTACAAGAGAGCAGTGCTCAATGCCATTGACTACCTCTCTAAATTTGGTTACTCCAAAGAACAGGTTTATCATCTCCCTAACACCAAATCATTTCCTTTATCTGCATGAGCATATGCATTGCCCAGAAAAGAGGCTGATCTAATATAATGGTGATTCTCAGATGTATCTTCTGCTATCGTGCTGCCCATGCGAAGGAAGGATTTCTGGGATAGTCGATTCTCCTAATGCTCTTGCCACCTTTGCAGTCCCAACAGCCATCTTTGATCAGGTAGTTAATTAACATCCTATTCCGGTTACTTTACAGTTTGCTCCTGCTGTTTAGGCAGTGAAAATGGCTTTGTTCTTTTACGGTTTGTTTGGGGAAGCGTAGGGAATGGAGGGAAAAGGAAGGTAAAGAAAGATGGAGGTTAATGACATCTTAATCTTGTCTGAGAAGAAAGTTTTTAATGGAGTGGAAGAGTAATAATGAAGGTTGATTTTTAATCTTCATTCTCTTCCATAGTCTCACCCCCAAATTTCTATGAAAACTGGAGAAGAAAATAACTTCATAACTTTTTGACTTTAACCCAACTTTATCCTTTCAACAAATAAGTTTCAGCCTGGTTTTTCCCTTCTTCTTCCCCTCACTTCCAATTAAAAAGATATTTATTACCTTCCATTCCAGAAAAAAAATCTCTCCTGCATTTCCTTTCTTATCTTTTCTATACAAACCAAGGAGGGTAAAAAAAATTTCATCCCTTCTCTCCCCTCTAGTAAATTATAAATTAATTGAATAGTTTTTTGTTTCAAAAATTAATTATTTAGTACAATGCTGATTACATTTAATTTAATACCACTTTGTTTCAAAAAATATATTTTTTTTCTCATTAATTTTTATATAATATCTATTTTTTTTGTTCTTAAAAAAAATAGAAAACCCAAAAGAATTGATTTGAATGAAAGGAGTTCTAATCGTATAAGTAAATGGTCTCGAGTTCGAGTTCTTATTTATACTTAAACTCTCTGGGTAACTGTCCTTGTTTTGCGCATCCAACAAAACAATAAGTATTAGTTTGAGTTTTTAAACCTGAGATATCTTGGAGGATCTCAAAGAAGACTAGATAAATAGTTTTTGAAACAAATGGACTAATTAATTCATTTTTCAAAATTAGAGAGGGATTTATAATTTACTTCAGTTGAAGCGGAAATGGTGTACTGTGCAGGGAAATGTATCACTTTACGTTTGCTAGTCTTCTTCAACTTTCTGATTCTCTCAAAAGAGTGTTGAAATGGTGTTGGATGTGGTACTGTGCAGGATATTCGTCCAAAAACAAAGGTGCCAGTTGGGCCTCGGCTAGTGCGGACACCAGACGTCCTAAAATGCACATATGATGGAAATTTGCCCATAACTAAGAACCCTAGCGCCATGACTTAAACAGGACCGAAGTGGCCAGTGAAAACAGAAGATTTGGGATTTGGGCTAAATCCATTATGCCTATTATTTCAATGCATAGATAGATGAATAAAACATGGCTTCAAGACCTTCGGTGTCCTGGTTAGGTTCATCACCTCTAATGTGATAATGAACAGGCATAAAGCATCATGTCATGAGGGAATGTTGGCACCTTTAAGCCTTTTGTATTAAATATATTTATCCAAATGTTATGCTTTAGGTATATGCCAAAGTATGCTGAACCATGCGGATTCTCACTATGTTAAAGAGTCAAACAAATATATAATTTATTTGATTGGCTCAAACATCAACAAGAAAGAAGAAAGAATATGATTTGCTATGTGAATTAAATAGAAAGCACAACGGTAGCAACCAATCTTTCAGTTTTGCAAGGGCAAAAGTATACTTCATTAACTGTAAACCATGACGCCAAGATGGACAAAATCTCCCGTGTATAAAATATAGTTCATTAACTGATGGAAATGGTAAAACAACAACACTTTTGAGACATGTCATGTGTTCGCTTAAACAGCAATGAGAATGATGCCCACAGGAAAGATAACATTTCTTGGAGTAGGAATGCTAAATGACTGAATAAGCAGAACAAGTTAACGGAGTTGTTGCTCTTCAAAAACAGGTTTAGCCCTTCAGAAAGGAGAGTGAAGGGTGTATAGATTAGTTCTCGTATGTTAATGAAAATTACCTCAAAACTTCAACAGCTAAAATGTATCCTTCTCCCATGAAATTACTAAGGCTGCTATGGCATATCATCTGCTGCTCAATAATATATTGAGAGTGTCCGGTGGTGTGGAAGAGATGGATTTTGAACACCGTAAGCCCAGAGCCAAAGGTCCAACTCCACACTCAGCACCTGAAAAAGAAGTCTTCACTGTTAGAACAATTGGAAAGAAAAGCGCAGAAAATCAAGAAGCAACAAAAGAAAGTGAATTTATTTTGGCGAAAGAGTGGTTTTCCCACTTACAGAGAAAATGACTGATGACTAAAAGGGAGTACATCTACAGAAGCATTTATCTCTGGGAAAAAGAAAAAATCGGCAGCCATAACTTCGAATGACAATCAGAAAATCCTTGGCCCTTGTATCCAGCTTGTTAGCAGTAACTTGAGAAAGGTTTTTCTTATTTTTTAAGCATTTTCTTGGATTAACTAATCAAATATGATGACATCATGAGATTCTGACAGCCAAAATCAAATTGTGATGAAAGCAGATTGAGAATATTTGATGAACCATCACTAATGTGTAAGATCTCTTTTCCAAATACTTCTTCTCCTATGTATTTTAAAAGAAAATGCCTATCATGATGGTGAGTCAAAAGAGATTATATGGAGATACTTGCCAGAAAATAGTTACATAAATTTGAAATATTTATATAAGTTACATTGGTCACATATAAATTTACAAAATATGGCATCACAGTCATAATTCATTCCACAAGGATCACAAGTTCCAAATTCCAGCATGAAGAAGGGAAATCATTCTCCATGTATGTGTAACCAATATAAAAACTCTACAGTCTGCAGACAGTAAAAAAGAATTAAAAACGAAAAAAAGGAAAAGTTGACGGTTCCACCATACCTGTTTTCCTGATTTTACAGTAATCAAGTCCCTCATTTTCTCCACAGCATATATGGAACAGGCTCGTAATTCAACTTCCTCCTCACTTCCTGAAACTATTTCATTATTAGACTCAATTATGCTGGCAAGGGTGGAACTATATTTTAGCACGCCAAGTTTCTGCAGCATAGCTGGAACAATATAGTCAGCAAATATAGTGACTGAGCTAATGTCATTGAATTCTCCATATCCTTGGCCTTTGAATGCACCATATAGATCAGCAGCAAATATCTGAGCTCTTTTATACAAGAATATCTGGTGGCCTTTGTAAACAGAGTGGTCTCGAAAGCCTAAAACATCCCAATTGTGAGGAATCATTGTTTCAGTATCCTTGCAAATTAACTTGTTGTATCTTCTCATACAACCATAGAGAGATAAAGTCTCATATATTGAATTTAGAGTTAATGATGAAAACTTTAAAAAGTTACCAGGAAAGTGACTGGCAATAGTGGCTACAAGCTTTGCAGCTGATTTCCCACAGGACTGCACTAGTTTGGATGCTTTACCTCCGAAACTTCTTTCCAGCTCAAAACCCACCTATATTAAGAAGTTTACCGATATCAAGCACCTTATTTGATCACTAGACTAAGAAATTGAAAGAATTCAGAAGCAGATTGACATCAATCAACTCAAAAAGACTAAGATGTTTGCATAATAATCCTAAAAAAATTAAAACAGAAAAAATAGTAAATGGCAAATAATAGTCAATGAAAAGGCAAACCTCATGCAGCAGACGAATTCGTTCGTCCTCCAGAGGAAGTGGTCGGGGCCACTTTAACAAATTACGTAATTGAAGACCTGGCAACATTCAGAATTTAACAGAGAAGCATATAATCTATACTGCAAAGCACAGACATCATATCCAGAAATGTGTTTCAAGAAAAGAAGGAACAGTAATTTTTAAAAAAGAAAAAAAGAAAAGGTCAATGACAATTACAACTTAAAAATTAACTCCCTCGTCTAGAAATTGGAATTAAATACTGTCAGAGCACCTTGAGAAGGAACAGAAAGAATGTTGAAAGGCTGATTCCCTCATGGAAACATCAGATTAAACCCTAGTTCCAGTATAGTGCTTGTTGCTCAACTGAATTTCAATTTCATGCAATGCCAGAGACAGATACCGCACTTAGAATAAATGTTAAACCGTATGCAACATATATTCAGCTTGAATAGCAGCTTCTACACCAAGAACTTAGGCTGCCATGAATAGATAGACAATCGACAAGTTAATGCAATGGTAAAATTCAATTTACCAGTCAGTCATCTTTATTTTGAAATCTCAATCCCTTTTTCTCTCTTCTTTAATCCAAATGTTCGAAATCTATAAAGGAACTCATGGTATACCTAAGAGTTTACATGTCTCCCTAAGTGCTTGCAATCATTTAAACAACAGTATTGATACATAAAATGATTCAATCCAACATCTCAAAAGAAGGGTAAATACCAGTGAACTTCTGCAGACGGTCGGCATCAAATACAGATTTGTCATTTTGCAGAGCCTCCTTTAACCCCGAAGCCAGATCATCATAACTTAAGTCCTTATCTAAAATACACAATATATCATCAAATCGAAAGAAGTGAAAGATTGGCTAAGCAAAAACTACGCGAACTTTGTATCAAATAGCCCCAAAAGACAAAATCTATCCCAAGGATTGTAGATGACATTCAAATCACTTGGAAAATTTTAAATAACAAAAACGATTTAACAACATTTTAAGCTGCAATGAAAGAATAAAGGTAGAGAAAAAAATTTTTCCCTCGATTAAAAGTACAACTAAGTTTTACCATAAGGAACAATCTCTCTCCTCAACTAAAAGATTCTAATAAAAGCAAAATTACAGACATGCAGAGCAACAAAATTATTTCAGAATTTCCAGGCAAAAAAGAAAGAAGCAGAATCAGAAATAAATACCTACCAGGCCAAAAGCAAAAATTGAGTGTGTCCAAAACAAAGAGGTACTGAACGGTGAGAGGCCCGTCGTCAAAATAATGAATCCCTTCAAAATCCCACTCTATTTTCGGAATCTTATCTTGAATATTCTCGACTACTCTCTCTATCCCTGCATGCCACACCATTTTTTTTAAAAAAAAAATTAAATTCTTTTCTTTCTTTCGAAAATGTGACGTTAAGGACTGACCTGCAGAGTCGACAACAACGTGAGAGGAGCAATTGGCGACGAAGGCAGCGGTTGATTTGACCTGCTCCATAGCCGTCCGTAATGCACTGCACTGCACTGGCTGCCCTGGCTGCTGCTGCTGCTGCCGTGTTTGACAGTATTTGTTTGAATTCAACCAACCCTAGTAGATACTGTAAAATATATTAATAATAATAATTTATTTATTTATAATTGCAGGAGAGTATGTTGCATGAGGAGCCAGATTATTTATAAAAAAAAAAATCACGTGTATATTTTAAACCGTTTGGAAGTTTCTCGTTATGGTATTGTTTTTTGTATGGACTCCGAATGGTCGCTTTCCACTGTCATCTTCATGGTTTGGTTTGGTCCTCTCCTCTATCTATGGAATGCGTTTAGGTAACCAAAATTTCCCTGGTTATCCTTCTCTTTTGGTTCCACGTCAAGTTCAACTTGAAAGGAGGATGGGGGACCCTAGCAAGAAAAAAATTGCCCTTGGTTTTTTTCTTTTTTTAATAATTTGGTCTCCTTTGTCTGTTTTTCTTGACTTTACATAGTGAAAAAAAAATTAAAAACAATTCAATCCAAATCATTTTAGAGAGTATATTGTAATTGAGAATTCGAATCTCATCTATTGCAATTTATAATAAGTAGTATATTTATGTTCGAAAAAATCCTAAATTTTGGTCTTGACATAAGTACAGTAGGGTCTTTTCATATAAAAAAAAATCGTGTAATGTATTATCTATCGGAAATTTTAAGGTAATCTACCTTATCTTTTCATTTTTTAAATAAAAAAAATTCCAAAGAGTATTTAAAACTAAAATGACATACCAATTTATTATTCTTTCACTGTGTGTATGCACTTATAAATATAATATTAATATATTATTATTATCATTTTACCGTTTCGTACATTAACAATCCGTCAATACATGAAAAAAATACAAAAAAGGACAAATCTAGCTTGATCCGAATGGAGAGATAAGGAAGCCTAAACCTCTAAATAAAATATCAAGTTATCTTCTAAAATTATGAAGACCTATTCTATCATGCCTAAATGCTATTTTAATTGGTTAAGGTAACTCAACATAATCGAAAAAATTATAAAAATCTTCTTGGTGATAGGCCTCATTTACTAGTTTGTCTACTCCATATTTTGCTCCCTCTAATGGTTAACCATCAAAGGTTTACATTCCTAAAAAAAGGTGAATGTAAAACCATGGAACAACGTACACTCCTACGATTGTATTGGTAATCATTAGAAAGTTAGATTCGATTAGAACCGAATCTAACAATAACTCTCTACATAATGTTAAACCATCACGAAGAGCTAGAATCTCGACTTTCGTATTTGTACCCTCTCTCTAAAAACTATAAGAACTCGTAATCACGAGTATATGTTGTATCTCCGATAACTCCACCCGTGCATCTTCCATCCATAACCGAACCATCAATATTCAACTTGAGCTTAACATAAGTTGGAGGCTCTTATTTCAACCATCTTCCATGCAAACTCATTATAGGAATAGCCGAAATATAAAGCTTTTGTAGCTCATCCGTCGACATAGGAATGTGTAGGTTTTTTGAGGTTGTACAAACGAGCATATGTTTAAAAGATCCCAAGTAACTTTCTTAATCACCTCATCCGTCGACATAGGAATGTCCTCATACTCGGCCTTACATCCGTTTTTCCATATTTCTTAAAGAGCAAAACAAAAAATTTCAACTTGATACATACCTGGTTGTGTTGAAATTGAACCAAACAAAGAATGCGCGTAAGTTTCCAAAGAAACCAAGAAGTTACGGATGCCAAAGATATTACCAAAATATTCCCACACCATCATAGCCACTCGAGATTTGAGAAAGAGATGTTCAATTATTTCCTCCCTATGATTGTTGCAACAACAAATTGAAACTAAAGGAATATCGAGATCCCTAATTCTTGACTCACCAGGATTACTCCATTAAACCACTTCCAAATGAAAACACTTATTCTTAGTGGGATATAAGGATTCCAAATCTTTTTAGCCCATGACCAAATTAGAGACAGAATACGACAATGATTCTAGTAAGTTTTTGCCTAAAAAACCCTCGTATATGTGAGTGCACAAACTAGCATATCATCGATATCATCATCAAAAGCATGTATGTTTTACCTCTTCATGAAGGTTGCCTAGGATAAATGGAAGAAATTCATCTAAATTAGTGAATGCATCTTTTACTCTTAATCGATTGTCAACGAGCAAAGGAATGTCCAAACTTGTACCACACCAATTAGCACTTCAAAATGGATTTGTGCCCTCGCCAACCATCCAACGGTTGCAACTACGAAGAATATGAAGATGATGCATAATTGTTTTCCATATAAGTGATGAAAAATAGTTACTCTATCCGAATGTCCATATTTTGCATTCGAATTTTGGCCTAAGGACTAGACCGTTGTATGTAAGACCGAGCTAACTTGACTTGAAGAGAATCTATTAAAAGTTCTATATAAAAACTCAATCTTTATGCGTTACAAAATGAATACACTTACATAATAAGAAGGGGTATAACAATTAAATAAATTAATTGTTAAAAAAAAATTCGGTGCATCCTTATAGCCACCATGTGATTTTTTTTCCATTGAACCTAGTTATAAGATCTTTGGTCTCTAGGTTTTAGTATCATCATACATAGCTCTTATATGTATGGTTTTTAATCCCGTCTCTCTCGACGTACTCCGGACTTATTCTCTTATTGAGGTTTTAGTTGATAGATCTATAAGCTTTTCACTATATTTAGTACAATCTACATTAATGATGCCGGTAGTTAAATAAGATCTTATAGTATTGTGTTTTCTCCTTATATGTCGGCATTTACCATTATAAAAATGGTTATGCATTCTACTAATGGTAGTGATGCTATCGCAATGGATTAAAACAAGTGGAACTAGTTTTCCTTAAAGTGAGATTTCAAATAAAAGATCTCTCAACTAGTTTGCCTCTTCATATACCGAGGCTAAAGCAATTAACTCGGCTTTCATTATTGAATTAGTAATTATAGTTTACTTTTTAGATTTACAACAAAAAACACCACCACCTAAAGTAAATACATAACTAGAGGTAAAGAGAGAATCACCTAACAAAGTGTTCCAATAACATATGCCAATGCTCTTTATTTGTCTTACTAGTAAACTTGCTAAGCACTCTAATTGCACTAAACAATGTCGAGTCCGAGTACAATATGTCACATAATCCAAATTGCAAATTAAATTAACGTATCCCTTTTGATCAATCTTTCTCAATATGAAATAAATGGATTCCAGAATCAAAAAAAGTAGTTACAAGTCGACAATTAATAAAATCATATTTTCTTAATATAATGGAACTAGTCAAGAAAAATGCAATAATTTATTTAGGTAATTGTTATCCTTAAAATGAAATTTACCTCACCAAAATCTTTCATGTCAAAATGGCTACTTGATATATTTTTTTATCTCTTAATCAAACACGAATTTAAGCTAAAAATGAATAAATTATCAACATAGAGGTAAATAATAACATATTCATTTTCTATAATTTTAAAATAAATATATCTATCACATTCATTTGTCTTATAGCCTTTATCGATCATGTAGAAATCCTATTTTCATGCTAGTTTTTAGGAGTTTACTTTAAACCATACAAGGATTAGTAAATTTACACACTTTTATTTCTTGACCAAACTCTACAAAGCTTTTGGGTTGATCCATGTAATTTTTTTTTATTTAGGTACCCAATTAGAAAGACAGTGTTAACATCCATTTGGTGAATTATAATAGATACAATAATCAATATCCTTATGGATGTAACTCTAGTGAATTGAGATAAGATATAAAAAAAAACTCTAGGTCTTTTTTTTATTAAACTCTTTAGCAATAAGTTTAGTTTTATATTTGTTTATGATTCCATTTGTTTTAATTTTTTTTTCTAAGGGTCATGCAATAGTTTTACAACATGATGCTAAATTAACTAAATTTTAAGTTTATTAGAAATTAGTGATTCCATTTCATCATTTACAACTTCTTTTCAAAAACTATGCAGGAGACTATAATACTTGTCACTCATCCACATGTTATGTGTTCAATCTTGGTTCGAAGCGGTCGGCTAGTGCAACAAAAGACAATCGATTGTCTCGTTGTTAACCACCAAAGTAAAATACGGAGTAGCGATACATAGCAATTCAGGAAACTACATAGTTGACGCAACTCATGAAAGATCTTCATTAGTTTATAGATTATTCAATAACACTGCATTAGGACAACCAATCAACTACACATTTAGCTAAAAATTATGTGTTTCGTGTAAGAACAAAGTATGTTTATATGGAAGTGCACTATTATTACATATATAAAAAATATTTTATAAGAAAAAAATAAGATAAAGAAAATCAACACCGATGATCAAGTAACGGACATATCTCCTCGAGGTTTTGCTAGGACCGGGTTTAAAGAGTTTCGAGAATATCTTGAAAATGCTACAAAAAGAAGAAGAAGTGAATCAAGTTAGTATTGAGGAGGAGTGTTAAAACTATATCAAATCCTCAATTGTTGACAAATAACCAGTGTGCTTGTTTGTTGTTTGATGATTTCACACCATTGCCACACTAAAGAAGCTACACATTCTAACCAAGAGAAGAGTTGAACCATTTGGTATTTTAGATTCTCCGTATAGAGTCTTTATTATTTAGTGTCTATATATATATATATATAAGCATTTGACAATCTCTTGTTACATGCATGTGCATTATTTTTATCTTTATTGTTTTTATGTCATCATACTTTTTTATAAATAGATAGTCCTCCTTCTATTCCAAGTATCCAACTATTATTTGAGTGAGTATAGTTAGATAAATACAAGTAAAAGTTCAAGAGATTGGTATTTAAGGGTTACCAAATGTAGATGTGGTGAGTCATGAGCAAATGCTTATAATGAGAGTATGCTTATAAATATTTAGCGTACTTATGATATAATTTATTTATTCTTCTACTTTATAATATTTAGTAGTATAATAAATTATGTTATTTTTTAGTCTATAAAACTCGATACCATCATTGTATGGCTTAAGTCTCTTAAATGAAACTCATAATCAACTATCAAATTTAGTATGATAATGAAAAAATTATAGCTCAATGATTGAATAAAGATCTTAGAATTCAAATCATTTGACAATCTTAAAAAAATGAGTTACAATTGAGAACTATTTGTGAACGGATCTCTTATTAAATAAATAAAGAAAACAATACTACTATATAAAGTTATAATGAACCACCAACTTAAGTATTTTTGACAAAATTCAGATTTAACTCGTTAAATTTAATAAAGTAAAACTAAAATAGGTGAAACTTTGGTGACATGAGTTTTGTGGTACTACATGATGCGTTGATAGTAGTTATATGGTATTAAAATAAAAGAATACTAAAATATAATGTTATAATGAACCACCTACTTAGGTATTTTTGGTAAAATCTAGATTTAACTATTAAATTTAATAAAGCAAAACCAAAACAGGTGAAACTTTAGTGACATGAGTTTTATGGTATTACATGATGTGTTGATAGTAGTTCTATAGTATTAAAATAAAACAATACTAATATATAAAGTTATAATGAACCACCAACTTAAGTATCTTTAATAAAATCCAGATTTAACTATTAAATTTAATAAAGTAAAATTAAAACAGGTGAAAATTTGGTGACATGAGTTATTTGGTATTATATGATGTGTTGATAGTAGTTACTAATAAGGTTTTTGCTCATATTAATAGATATATTAAAATAAAATAGAGTCGTGATGTAGCTAAGCCTTTTTTTTTTTTGTGAATTTTTCATTTGTTTTGGTCCTCATTTTGTGATCTTATCTCCATTTTGGTCATTAGAGTTTTGGTCATATGATTTTTGGCCTTGCATGTCGCAAGCTTTTCTTTGTTTTTTCATTTCAATTCTTATATCATACTTTTATTCGATCATTTAAAGTTTAAAAGTATTTTTATTATGCTTACTTTTACTGTTGTGTTTTAATTTTCCTTAAAATATTTATCAAATCATTAAAAATAGACTATTTGATTTGATTTTAATAAATTGTTAGAGTAAATTAGCATAACTATTATTTAAATAAATAAACTAATTTTTATTTTCTTGAGAAATTAGTTATATTTAGGAGGGTAAGTGAAAGATTTTATAAGTTTTGATATCAAATACGAATATAGAAAAATAACAAGACCTAAAAAATAACTAAATTAAACTTTTTATTTCTATACATAAATAATGTAATCTTCAAAATTTTACTATTCTAAGCTCTTTTTTTGGCTTTTAGCTAAAGTTTTCTTTCCGTTTTGATCTCTATTGTGTGATCTTTACTTTATTTTGGTCATTAATTTTGTTATATGTGATTTTTACTTGCTACCTTATGTATAATAAGTTTTTGGTTTTACAATTTCAATGCCTTTTTTGGCTTTTAGTGATATTTTTTCTATTTTTGTTTATGTTTTGTGATATTTATTTTGTATTGGTCATTGATTTTTTTTTTTGCTCGTGTATAAAATCTTTATCATTTTGTGTTGTGTGAAGCTAAAACAAAGTTTTTTAGGTTCATTCGTTTATCTTAATATTATATTTTATGTCATTTTTCTACCCAACAATATCTAACAAGTTTAATCATATCAAGATAATATATATATATATATATATATATATATATATATATATATATATATATATATATAGAGTAAAAACTATTACCATTCAAGATTTTAAAAACACCAAATCATTATTTTAGTTATCGATTGCTATAAATATTTTTAATAAAATGCTTGATAGTATCAAACAACATTTAATTAACAATATTATGTTACTCAACTTCGCAAGTTTTTCTTTTCAAATTTTTTTTTTAATTTTTTTTTTACATAATTCTTTTAAATAACTATTTTTCACATAATGCCTTTCATTGTTATCATCGTTTGGGGTTATATATATATTTTTTATTGTTCAATAAAAAGTCAACCTAAGACCTTTTATTTTTCATTTGTATAACATAAATTTATCTAAAAGTTTTGAAATAATCTCTTTTTGTATTGTTTTAAACCTGTCTTAACACCATCATCTTATAGATTGTTAGAACTCTTTATTTTATATAATTGAACACATAAAAAGATTGTGTAGCTCACCTTATAGCAAAGCATGATATATATATATATATATATATATATATATATATATATATATATATATATATATATATATATCTTTAGAAGAGTTTGTGTGTCAACCCGGTGCATGTAGAAGAAATAATTTTTTTATTTATGTTGACTCCAAAATATTAAGAAAGAAAGTAAACATTTTTCACTATTAAACCAATTCTCTAAAATTAACTTGGGGCCATATGATAATTACTATATCTAAATATGCTACACATACTATATTGGTACTACGGTCGTCGATGGACCTAGTGACAACGAGCCTTCAATAAAGTTCCATTACGTTCGAAAGAGGCATAGAGGGTTCCAACGAGTCTGGATCAAATTGACAAAATTGATAGTTTGTTATCGGTTTGTCTCTTTTGCTTATCTATGTTGTTTGTTTCGCGGGTTGTTATTGCTGACTCGGCTAGTTTGTTAGTCGGTCCGAACTTATATATAGGTAGGAGGGGAAAAGGGTGGGGTACGATTGGTTATCTTTTATATGAGAGGGGTAATAGGAGAGAGGTAGCCTCTAGAATAGCTACCGTGGTATTAATCCTTGTAACCGATATTCCGTGAGGAATATTGTATTGATAAGAATTACTTTTTCTCCTATTTTCGACGAACTTCATATATTTGTTATTTTCCTTGGTTTCATTTACGTTCTGGAGTGTGTTCTTATCAATTTGGTATCAAAGCCCCTAGCTCCTGCCGTGGGTTATGCCCAAAACAAGAATGGAGAATAGGCTAGACAAACTTGAATCCGACGTGAAGAAGATTCTTGGTATTGAGGGGCAATTGGAACAGATCGGTGGTAATATGAATCCGATGATGCAATAAATGAAAGAAACACAACATAGCCTCTAAAACTTTGCTTGAAACATCGGGCGATGAACCCAAGCCACCTCGCGGAATCCGAGCACCGCTAGATCCGGAGCCTCTATGGCGGCGGACCACGAGGACGAGGTAACTATGGGGGTGGAGGTAGCCGAGAGAGTGCTCAAGAGAGACATGCATCCTAGGAAGTTGGAGTTGCCAATTTTTGATGGAGAGGGAGCCGATTCGTGGTTTTTTCGAGCAAAGTGTTATTTTTCCATTAATAGGCTATCGAGGCGAGAGAAGCTCGAAGGTCGTTGGGGTGTGTTTTGAAGGCGAGGCTCGGGCCGGCTTCGATTCGAAGAGAGGAGCACGGTCTTTACTACATGGGATGCACCGAAATCCCGAGTGCTACAACGGTTTGCGGGGTTGCGAGAGGGCTCCCTACCGAATCGATTCTTCACGGTACAGCAGTATGATTCGGTTGTTGAGTATAGAGCTCGGTTTGAATATTTAGCGAGCTTCGATGGGGAAGGTGGATGACGAGACAATGACGACTGTCTTTGTTAATGGACTCGATGAGAAGTTGTGAGTCGAGTTGATGGTGTTGAATCCGGGAACATTGAAGGAGACCATTGAAGCGGCTAGTCGGATTGAGCAAAAGAACCAAATCCTTAACCCAACCCAACACACCAAAGCGCTTAAAGAGCCCCTTTATTCCAATCTAAATATGACACTAAGACCATCTCCCGGACCCCAACCAAGCCTTATAATCCTTTCACCAATAGCCAAGCCCAATTCCAAAATCATCCAGCCCACTCATCGCCCACCAAAACACCCTTTTCTCATCGAAACCCGATGCCGGACTAAACACCACTACCCCATTCATACCCCGATTTTGAAGATTAACGAGTGATGTAAGCCGCATCGAGGAGAGAGCGAGGGTTGTGCTACAAGTGTGATGAGAAGTGGCATGTGGGCCACCGGTGTAAGCAAAGAGAGCTGCATGTCTTCATTGGTGAGTAAAAATGATGAGGTGAGTCAAGCCAAAGGAATTTACGAACCAGATGGGAGATGGAGATTCACTAGGGGAGTTGAGTTATCTCTTAATTCCGTTGTGGGTCTATCCGAACCACGTACTCTCAAGCTTAAGGGAGAGATCCACGAGTTGGACGTTGTGGTATTAATTGATTGTGGAGCTACCCACAATTTCATTTCAACCAACTTGGTAGAGATGCTCCAATTGTCCGTGCAAAACACTAACCATTATGGGGTTGTGATTGGGACGGGGCGACGAGCTTAAGGGAATGGGGGTTTGCGAGGGCGTTATCCTCCAGTTGTAGGGCCTCACGGTTATAGAAGATTTTTTGCCATTACCGCTAGGCGATACGGATGTTATATTGGGATTGAAGTGGCTTTCCACTTTAGGGGAGACAAGGGATGATCGGAAGAAGCTCACAATGACATTCGAAATGGGAGAACAGATCGTGGTTTTGAAGGGAGACCCGAGCTTAACAAAGGCATTGGTATCATTGAAAATTATGGTAAAGGTGCTACAGCAAGAGAAAGAAGGCATTATGCTCGGAACTCTATCATTTAGTGGCCGGTGACACTAATAACATAAGGATCGAGGTACCGAAGTGCGGGAAGTGTTGAATGAATTCCACGATGTTTTTGTCACACCTATGGAACTACCACCTATCCGAGGGCATGAACACGCTATAGTATCGAAGGAGGGGTCCGAACCGATCAATGTAAGGCCGTATCGATATCCCCACATCCAAAAGAATGAGATTGAGAAGTTGGTCACGGAGATGCTGATTGCGGGCATAATCGGGCCTAATGTTAGCCACTTTTTCCGATCCTGTTTTGTTGGTAAGAAAGAAGGATGGCGATTGGCGTTTCGTGTGGATTACGAGCACTCAACAAGGCAACCGTCCCGGATCGATTCCCTATTCCCAACATTGATGAGTTGTTGGACGAGCTCCATGGGGCAAAAGTGTTCACTAAACTCGATCCGAAGTCGAGTTACCATCGATTTGGGTTCGACCCGAGGATGTACATAAAACGGCCTTTCGTACCTATGAGGGCTATTACGAATTCCCGGTGATGTCGTTCGGTTTAACGAATGCCCCAAAGAACCTTTCGGGCCTTGATGAACACTCGTTTTCAAACGACTTTTTCGTCGGTAAGTGCTCGGTATTTTTTGATGAAATACTCATTTATAGTCCCTCTTTAGAAGCACATGTATTGCATTTGAAAGAGGTTTTAACACTCGTTACGAGCTCATAAATTATTTGCCAATGGCAAGAAATGTTGTTTACGCCAACATGAACTTGAATATTTAGGTCATCTCATCTCAAAGAAAGGCATTGCGACAGATCCAAAAAAGGTGAAAGTGATGGATGCATGGCCGTTGCCGAGAAACCCAAAAGAGTTGAGGGGTTTCCTCGGATTGACGGGATATTATAGGAGGTTCGTTTGCAATTATAGAAATCTCGCGGCACTCGTAACTCGACTCGTTAAAAAAGACTCCTTTGATCGGACGGATGAAGCAACTCGAGCGAGTGTAGGTTTTGAAGGAAGCCATGAAGAAGGTGCCTATCCCGGCTCTACTCGATTTCACCGAATCATTTGTGGTTGAGATCGATGCTTCGGTATTGAGTTGGGATCGGTATTATCTCGGCGAGCATCGACCCATAGCTTTCTTCGATCGGGCCTCGACGGGTAGAGTACGGTTCGAGTCCGTCTCATGAGCGAGAACTCATGGCAATTGTGATGGCGGTGCAAAAATGGAGGCATTATCTCGCTGGGTGACATTTTATTGTGAGAACAGATTAGAAGTCCCTCCGTTACCTACTCGAACAATGCATGGTTGCTAGTAAATACCAACGATGGATGACAAAATTAATGGGGTATGATTTTGAGGTGCGAGTATCGGCCTGTCTCGGAGAACAAAGCAGTCGATGCCTTGTCTAGAATTCCTCTCCAGCAAGCATTACTAGCTATTTCGGTCCTTTCTTGGGTTGATTGGGGTTTGTTGCGTCGGGAGATTCAATGAAGACTAACGAACTTCGATCCATTATCCAGGCCACGGAACTTGACTCAACATCTAAACCCGGTTGGAGCCTTAATCATGACATATTGTTTTATCGTGGCAAGTCGGCCATACCTCGAACCTCTCAATTTATTTCCCAATTCTTGAAAACATTTCACAACGATCCTAGGGGTGGGCACGAGTACAACCCTTACCTCCCGTTTTGCATGCTAATATGGATTGGGTGGTTGAACCGGAAGAGGTTCCGGATGTGAGAGAGTCACCCGAGGGGATGGAACTACTAATCAAGTGGAGGTCACTTCCAAATTTTGAAGCAACGTGGGAGCCGCTACCTCCGATTCAAGCACTCGTTTCCTACCTTCTACCTCGGGGACAAGGTGAGTGTTAAAAGGAGGGGTATTGATGGACCTAGTGACAATAGGCTTCCAATAAAGTTCCATTACATTCGAAAGAGGCATAGGGGTTCCAACGAGTTAGATCAAATTGACAAAATTGATAGTTTGTTATCGGTTTGTCTCTTTTGCTTATCTATATTGTTTGTTTCTACGGGTTGTTATTGCTGACTCGGCTAGTTTGTTAGCCGGTCTAGCTTATATATAGGTAGGAGGGAAAAGCGTGGGGTACGATTAGTTATCTTTTATATGAGAGGGGTAATAGGAGAGAGGTAGCCTATAGAATAGCTACCATGGTATTAGTCCTTGTAACCGATATTCTGTGAGGAATATTGTATTGATAAGAATTACTTTTTCTCCTATTTACGGCGAACTTCATATATTTGTTATTTTCCTTGGTTTCATTTCCGTTCCGAGTGTGTTCTTATCATCATCCCAACCAAAATACCAAAGTAAATTGATTTGTAACGAGTACTTGAGCTCGAGATTGTATAACAACAAAAGACTAAAAGTAGCATTGCAAATTAGAAGCTATCCGTATCAAAATTTTAAAATACCTAAGAATACTTAGAAAATAACTATTAATATTTATTCTATAAAAAAAGGCAAACATAATATATATAAAGTAAATATTGATATATTTTTTGTGAAAGGTATTTCCATGTCTTATATTAAGTGGAAATGTTAGGATCTTGTAAATGATTATATACCCGACTAAGAAAAAATCTAGGGTTGTCAAACGATTAATAATCTATAAAGGCTTTTTTTTTTTATCATTATAAATTATGAGCAACCCAATTATAGATAAAAAAAAAATAATAATGATGAAGATGTAATTCTTCTAGTAACCTTTGAATGATGACATGTACCTTGTTGACATTGAATAATTGAGACTTAGCAACTTCAATTAGTAATTTGATGTCATCTTCCATGGTGTGAGCGATGCGGACCAATAAGTCCTAGAATTTATGGAACGATATGAGTACGATAAAAGTTGAAAAAAACCTATATGTTCGGCTTTAAGGTTTTTTGGGCTTAGTTTGACGCCAAACGATCCAATGAGTCAAGCATATTGCTATGCCATGATGTAGGCATGATTTTTGCAAAAAAGACTCGTTGAGGCCCTCAAAATCGACTTTTCTTGTTTTTTGGGATTTTTCTTATTTTTTGGAACTTTGGTATTTGTTTTCCTTTGGAGTTAGTTAAGGGTTTTGGCTGAATTTTCTATTTTGGTTAAGGGTTTTGGCTGAATTTTCTATTTATTTACGACACTGGAGGCAAAAAAACACGACTTTCTTTAATTAACAAAACTTTATGAGAGAGTATCTCAATTTTATTTTAATTTTTAATATTCTTTGAATCAATAGAATTTGAAATCTATTTCTTGGTATTTACGTATAATTCAACAGATTACGAGTAAATCGATATGTGAAATTTATGTGTAAGTTTTCAAATTAACAACTAGCATACATCTCGCGCGTTGCCGCGGAGTGAGCTATGCAATATTTTTATGTATTCATTCATATAAAATATAAAAAATAAAAATAATTATTTAAAAGCATTACACGAAAAAATTAAAAAAAAAAGAACTAAAACACGTATTTCGAATTTGCAGCAAGGTTAGCTAAATGCAAAGTCCGCAAAGTTGAATAATATAATGTTGTTAATTAGATATTGTTTGATATAATTAAAATATGCATAATAACCGATAATTAAAATGATAATGTTATAGTTTTTTGAATTTTAGATGATTAATTTTTACCATATATTATTTCATCCGTAATTTGTTAATGAAACAGAAAAACTACCTAAAACAAAAAGACAAAAAACCTTTGTCAAATCGAGAATGTGGCAAAGAAAATAAAGATAAAACTATACACGATAAAAATTAAATGATCAAAATAAAATAAAGATCAAAATAAATAAATAAAAACTTTCATTAAAAAAAAAACTTATAAACAATAAGTCCGAAAAGAATTCATTATACATAAGGCAGGAACAAAAGTAAAATATTATAGAATTTTAATGATCAAAATAAAAATAAAGTTATAAAATAAGAATCAAAACGAAAAATATTTTTTACTAAAAAAAAAAAACTTAGATTAGTTAAATTGTATTAAATTTTAGTGTAGAACGAATAATAATTAAATATAATAAAAATTTAATGATCAAAATAAATGAAAGATCACAAAAAAAAAATCAAAATGTAACAAAAAGTTTTACAAAAAGTAAAAAATAGGTTTTTACAGTGGTAAAGAATCAATTATAATTAAAATTTAATGATCAAAATAAAAAACAATTACAAAACACAAAGCTAAAATAAATAAAAAAATCTACTAAATTTAATTATAAAAATAAAGAAACAATCACAAAACAGGAATTATAATATAAAGAAAAGTTTCACTAAAAGCAAAAAAAAGAAGAAGCTTAGGATAGTAAATTTTATTTAGTTTTAATATAGTAAGGATAAAAATCAAACATGATAAAACTTAACGGGCAAAATAAAAACATATCACAAAATAGGAACCAAAACGAACATAAATTTTTACTAAAAGCAAAAAAAAAAAAAAATGTATTGTAGGGATAAAAATAAAATATAACGAAATTTTAATATTTATTATAAGGATAAAAATTAAATATAATAAAATTTTAATAATAAAAAAAAGGAAAAAAGGGACAAAAATAAAAAGCAATTCCCTAAAAGCTTGGAAGCTAGCCAAAAAAAAAAAAACTAAAAAAAAATGTAAAAGCATGGAAGCTAGCAATCGAAAAAAAAAGAACAAAAAAAAAGAACAATGAAGTGCTACACAATGGTTTCTCATTTTCTTTTAGTTCTATTGTAGTTGTAATGTTTGTTTCCCTTTTATAAATTTTCGCTGCGTCGGTAAGCATCTAGTGTAAAAGAATAATACACACTCTTTGGTGCAAAAACTACTCCAAGGTGGTTCTGGACTATAATGCCTGTTGGTCCTGACGTAACGTGGACGAAGAATGCATTGTCCAAATTAATTTTGATGAAGTCAGGAATCGAAAGAAGCTAGTTAGTGAGGAAGGTCCAGTAATCGACCATAAACCTGACGCAAGTGAGGTGGTAAAATAACAATAATGTTTATATATATATATATATATATTTTTTTTTCTGATCTTCAAGTGTTTTTGAAAAGGATATCAATCGACATTATTATAAGGTGCAGTGATTTCGAGCTTTCCACAATCTCTAAAACATATGAAAGAAGCAAGCATAATGGGAGATGGTAGGTCATGCCACTAATTGATAAGGATGAATAAGGCTTTTTGCCAAAGAAAGTAAGAGATAAGATATCAACACTTAGTTGGAACGGAGACACAAACCACCCTTATTTTGCCTTTGGACATTTAGCAAATAATGACAATGTTAGGTTTGTTTTCAAATATATATATATATATATTGTAAAAAAAGGCTCAGATCTGTTATTCACAGCTCTAGAAACAACAAATCTTGATCTCGAAAGAGACGAGCACTCATACCCTATTTTTGTAGGGCAAACGATTAATATTCGCTGGAGTAAAAAACAAAAAAAAAAAGCCTCTACAGCTCAAATGTTTTGTTACGCCGTCGTTTGAATAAAACGACCTCTCTAAATAGCTTCAAAATCATCGACAGCTTGGGGAACTAGGAAAGGCAAAAAAAATAATAAATAAATAAAAGAAAAGGGCAAACCTCAAATCAGTCTCCCAACTATATATACTTTATAGATATAGCATCCAAACTACCAAAATTTTCAATTCAGTCCCCCATCAACATACCATCACTCAATCATAATCTTTCACTAAAATAAGTAACGACAATGTTAAATATTGGACATATTTGTCAAATATTTTTTAATTTATTATAACTTTCTCAAATTTTAAGAGCAAAATATTTCAATATCATTTTCAATTAAGACAAGTTATAAGAAATTAAACTGTTATTGGACTAGTTTTTACATTATGATTTCTCATTGCTTTTGAACATGCTAAATGGAAGGAGGAAGAATTAGGTATCTTTTCATATAAAACTTGGGAAAATTAAGGTAAATAATGCCTAGCATTTGCAATGTTTAATTTCTTTTCCAATGATTTTTATAGAAGCATCTGATTGATAAATTTTGGTAGTTAGAGTGCTTAGTCGATAATATATATATAATTGGAGGAGTGATATGATATTTGACCAAAAAGAAATGGATGAGGAGAAAGCGATTCTTTTCTTCCGGCTAACTAAAACACAAGATAAAAACAGCCCCTACTTTTATTGAACGAGTTGATTTGATGGCCATAAGGCCTCTTTTGCTACAGCAAAAATTGACTCCAATCTTGAAGAACAAGAACACCAACAACAAAAAAACCCTCTTTTCTTCTCTTTTATTAATTTCCAATAATAATTACAATAAACATAATCCTCCTCTGTTTTATTCTCCTCAATCATCGATTTTCGCTCTCTTCCGTCAATTGGCTTCTTCAACCACTACTTTTTCTCACCAACGAGAAAGACAGCGGCAACAGCAGCAGCCGGACCAACAGATACGGAACCGTTTTCCTCATCGATTTAGGTCTTCGGAACCTCCTCCGGACACGCTGGCGCAGAAAATTGGCAAATCGATTCGCCGACCTGGCGCCCCTTCCAAGGCTAGGGTTTATGCTGATATCAATGTAATCCGTCCTAAAGACTATTGGGACTATGAGTCTCTCACCGTTCAGTGGGGGTATATTCGTCTTTTTCTTTCTTTTTAGATTGATTGTTGAAATTAAATATTTAGTAATATGGTTTTTCAATCTATGTATAATATTTTGTAATTGTTGATTGGTTTGCAGGGAGCAGGATGATTATGAGGTGGTGAAGAAGGTTGGAAGAGGGAAATACAGTGAAGTTTTCGAGGGGGTGCATTGCACGGATAGTGAGAAATGTATAATTAAGATTCTCAAACCCGTGAAGAAAAAGAAAGTGAGTTCATTTGTTCTGTTGATTGGTTTATCTCTTTCTTGTTTCATGTTTGTTAATTCATTTGCAGTGATGTGAGTTTTTTTTAGTGTTGCTAACTTCGCTGCAAAAGGTTTTTAACCTACACGGGCTTGCTATTTGAAATGAAAGTTTTATTTTTTATGGAAAATTGACCTGGTTTAGAGTGGATTTAAGGGTTATATTTTGCTGTTAGCATGTGCATATTAGAGAATTTTGATTCTTAAAGATGTCGATACCTGTAGAATAATTTGTTTCCTCTCAGATGCTTTGTGGATTAAGAAGTCATGGAAGGAAGATAGTAGTTTTTATTATTCATCGAACCAAAAAACATTTTTTTATATTATAATTGTCATTTACCATCATTCTTACCATAGAGATGTTGTAAATCTATGTCCAGCGTGTAACGTTTCATCATGTTATTTTAATCTAGATTTTGCTTACACTTTCTGAACTTTCATCGCTTTTTAGCTATTGCTTTGCAGTTTCTCAACTTTCACTCTTGTTAGCCAGCCACTTTGTAGCCTCGGGGTACTTTGTGGTGCCCTAGATTATGAACCAAAGCAACCTTGAGATGTTTGAGTGATAGCTTATACTGGTGTTTTATCTCAAAAGAGAAGGTTTCCTTGTGCATGTGATTTAGTCCACAGTATATCCATCCTTTTTTTTTTTTTTTGCTGGTTTTACTATTTTTTTTGTCTTATGGACCCGTTCTATACTTTATAGGTTGCCTTTCTGGAGACTGACTTTGTTTTTTCTGCATGATGCAGATTAAGAGAGAGATTAAGATACTGCAGAATCTCTGTGGAGGACCAAATATTGTGAAGTTGCTTGATATTGTTAGAGATCAACAATCAAAGACTCCAAGTCTGATTTTTGAATATGTGAATAATACCGATTTTAAAGTGCTTTATCCAACACTTTCAGACTTTGATATTAGATATTACATCTTTGAGCTTCTGAAGGTAAGCACATCATTTGTCTCTCCAATTGACAAGATCAGCATTGACATATGCATCTAAATAGATGGAATAGATATTTACAGCAAACTACTTAATGCTCGTGTTTAGTGATGCTAGGTTTAAGTTACTATATCTATTGTGTTCGTAGATTAGATGACCAGGTAGAAAGTTAGCTGTTGTCAAATGTAATGCTTTTGCCCTCTCCCTAGCTCGAATGGTGGGGAAGTGATTTTTGTCAAATGCTCTAGTGATGGAGTTCATCTCTCTTTATTGTGAGTCATTTGGATGATGCTGAAAATGCTATCCTGGCAAAAATATTGTTTGAACAAAATGAATGTGACATTTAGTTGTCGTCCTAGTGACTGTTTTTTTTACTACGATGACAAAGGCTGAGGCAGTGGATGTTGTGCATTTGGAAATACCAGCCTAATTTTCAGAAACAAATGTTTGATTTATATATGTGATAAACTCTAGTGTGAAATTGAAATTCTGTTTTTTCAAGTCAGTATTGTGGAACTGAAATTGTTTTGTTTAATCTTTAAGTATTTTGTATCTTGTTCTGTAGGCATTGGATTATTGCCACTCTCAAGGTATCATGCATCGAGATGTGAAGCCGCATAACGTCATGATTGATCACGAGCAGAGGAAACTTCGCCTGATAGATTGGGGCCTTGCAGAATTTTATCACCCTGGGAAAGAATACAATGTTCGTGTTGCTTCGAGGTTTGTCACTTTCATTAGCTGTTGACAATTTATGTGCCCATGTTTCTTTCTCCTTTAATTTTCTCTGGTCAATGTCACATGTTGCTCTTTTGCTTCCCCAAGCTGTTTTGGTCAATTAATGTTCCCCAGTTTTGTTTGGGATTAAGGCTTTCTGTTGTTGTTGTTGCTGAAATGTTCCCTGGTTTTTTCTCCCTTTAATTTGTCACACGCTTTGTAACTTCAAAACATTAATTGATGACAATTTTACCAAGGCATGGTCCTAGTTGAAATGTTCCTTAAGCTGTTTTGGTCAATTAATGTTCCTTGGTTTTGGTTGGGATTAAGGCTTTCTGTTGTTGTTGCTGAAATGTTCCCTGGTTTTTTCTCCCTCTAATCTGTCACACACTTTTTAACTTCTCTAAACATTAATTGATGACAATTTTACCAAGGCGTGGTCCTAGTTGACATTTTTGCTATTATGACGGCTTACTTATTGATGTTGCATCTAGTATTTTGTTTTAAATTTCAGTCTTAATCATGGTTGCGATCCAGCTTTTGCTGGTTTAATGTAATGGTCGTAGTAACTGGAGTCATAAATCTTTAGCAACTCAGCATATTTTAAGTAATGCACACATTTGTTTAATAATAAACACTATAGTAATCATATAACTAGGATAAATGAGACATTATATGAGTTTATAACAATATAATAAAACTTGATGTTGTAATTTATCATATTCCTATGCTTCCTTGTGGTTACTGCCAGTTCATCAATGATATGTGAACCCATCCATCTCTGAGCTAAGCCCTCTTTAGATTTGTGATTTTAGTCATTCGGTGAATTGACATGGCAATTTCTTTTAACTAAATAAACGCAATGGTAATCATAAAACGAGGATAAATGCAGCATAATATGACTTTATTACCATATTTTAAAACTTAATGATGTATTTAATCACACTTTATTCTTACGGTTACTGCTGGTTTTTAATTGCTATATAAGCCAATCCATCTCTGAGTTGAGCCCTCTTTAGAGTTTTTCATTTTACTCTATTGGTGAAATTGATGTGGCAAATTTTTTTCTTTTCTGTTTTTCGATTTCTGATCTGCAGATACTTTAAAGGTCCTGAACTTCTTGTTGATCTGCAAGACTATGACTATTCTTTGGACTTGTGGAGCCTTGGCTGTATGTTTGCTGGCATGGCGAGTGTCCTCCCTAACTTCCACTTTTCTCATCTTGTGCATTCTGTGTTGTGCATGCAAGCACAAATGCCTACATCAGAATTCTGGGCCTGCCCATAATGGACTTGCTTCTCTATGAACATACATGACTGGCCTGCAATTGCTATATGTCCATTTATTAGCATCCATGATAGTATTGCTAATGCCAAAGACAAGTGGACCTTGGTCTGCTTGCCTATTCTTGCTGGGATGGCAGATAGTTAGAATGAAGTTTGAGAATGCTAAAATATGTGGTAATCTCTTTATTTATGTTTTGCTGTGCAGATATTCCGTAAGGAGCCATTCTTCTATGGGCATGATAATTATGATCAGCTGGTCAAAATAGCTAAGGTATGTGAAATGATTGGATAAAAGTTTGAGTAAAAAATAACAGGTCCACATATATTCCATTTTGTAAACCATTTCATTGACTTTCTAGATGACCATTTATTAGCAAGTCATATCAATGTCTTTGGGTATCTTTTGGGCCTTGTGGTTTTTGAATTGTGCAATCTGGTTTGGAAAGTTAGCTGACAAAAAATAAGCTAAACTGTGTCCATGGTGTATAGTGTCCATCAAATTTCAGCTCAACTCTGGTATCTATCTGGACAGTAAGGACCACATTGTAACACTTTGACAACCTGTGGAAATTGTGATTCTTTAAATTTTAAGGATGAAAGTTACATGCTTCATCCTGTGCATGTTCCTGCATGAGAGCATGAGTGCTTGGTTGCTAGTTAGGCATGTCTGTTCTTTTTGGAGAATTTTTTTTTCCCTTAACATGCTTGGCAGTACATGACACTGATATGGCTGAGTGGTCAAATATTTACCGTTTTGTATGTGGAATCTAACAGTAATGAACTTATTTTGAGAGTGATGGATAAAGATGGAAATGTAATTACTCTTTCCCTTCTCCATCAGGTACTTGGAACAGATGAGCTGAATGCATATTTGAGCAAGTATCGCATAGAGTTAGATCCGCATCTTGCCGCGCTTGTTGGGAGGTTGGTCATATGTGCTGATAACTCCATCAATTGATTATATTTAGATATCCAGTTCTCCTAATGAGAAAATTCTTTTGTTCTACAGGCATAGCCGGAAACCATGGTCAAAGTTTATTAATGTTGACAATCAACATTTGGCAGTTCCTGAGGTACATTTTAATTTATAGATTTAAAATGATTATATGTTCATTGTTAAATCTATTTAAAATCATGCGTTTGTCTTTTTTCCTCTTTAAAGGCTGTTGACTTCCTCGACAAGTTGCTGCGATATGATCACCAAGAAAGGCCAACTGCAAAAGAAGCCATGGTAAACGCCTGCTCCTTACCTGTTGAAAAAAACTCTAGACAGGTGGTTTTTAAGTCTATTAGTGGCGTTTTGACTTGCAAAGTAATACTGGTCGACTTACCAGATCAGAAAAACCAAGATTAAGTGGTCTGATGAGGGAAAAAAAAAAGATCACGTGCCCTATATGTTTGTAGATTGTGTTTTTATATTTTTGGGAGAGCGGGGACAACCTCTCTTTTATTTTTTTTCCTTCAACTCTATAAGTGGTCTGATGACCGACCTTGATACCATGCAGGCCCATCCATACTTCTATCCAATTAGAAATGCAGAAAGCAGCAGATCTCGTACCTAGTTTCAAATTTCAAGATGCTGTCAAGTCCTGGCATCTCATTGTTCTTTGTTGAGGCTTCCTATTTAATCTGACTGAAAATTTATTATTATGATGGCGAGTTTGCATTTAGGAAAGTCGTTGTAATTGCCTAGTTTCATAATTCTGTTGTTATAAAGCCAGTCATTTTTCAATTGCCCAATTTAGGCATCTACTGACTGAATGTACTCTTTTTTTTTACTCTGCATTTGTGTGCTCCTAATTGGGAATAAATATGCTGATTTCTGATGTTTTGTTTGGTTTTTTGCCTGTTTTCGTGGTTAGATGATACATTGAATTTTCCCTTTATCCTGGAATTTCTTTTCCTTTTTTGTGAATAAATTTTGGTTTCAGAATAAATTGTTTGAATGTATATATGATGGATCTGTTAAGAAACCAGGTTAATTTCAATTTACCCTTTTGAGGTTTTTACTCTCTGAGGTTTGAATTGAATCAACACCCCCAGCTACCCTATGGCAAATCAATGTGCCTGTTATGAAATGTTACCCAATCCAACGAAACGAAGGTTTTTCATCCCTGTATTTCTGAAATTTGATTATATAGAACCTTCTTAATATAATTTGATCAAATTTAGTAGCCCATTGTTTACATCTCATGAAGATTGAACAAGAAATTAAGCAAAAGAATATAAATATGGAGATATAAATAACAAGATATGTGTCGACGGGACTCAGTAATTATGTGTTTACTGGCCTTTTTCTTTTTACCTTCTAGTGTGTATTTTGTTGCTTTTATTTATAATATTTTAATCCGTTCAAACAAAGCTATGCATAACACATCCTTGGTGACATAATTGATTTAATCGAATATATTTTTTTACTTGATAATTTCTTATGACATTGGTAAGAGGTTTTTATTTATTTATTTATTTTTGGTCTGAGGTTTCTAGGATGGGTGGTTTTAAGGTTCTAATCTTTTGTGGGTTCTGCATTTTTATTTTTTCTATTTTATTTTGTTGGAAAAGATACATTTGTATATTTCTATGCAATTAAAATAATTTGTTATATGTCGAAATGTTGTTTTAATAATTATAACAATAATAGTTTTGATGTGTTAATAATGGTTTTGTTTTTTATCAATTTTCAAATTATTTATATTTTTTTCTCTAGTTTTATTCTAAACAATACCAAAAATAGGATAAGTTTTTTAATATTGTATCTTGTATTATTGATATAAAGAAGGTTTTGTTCCAATTTTATGGTTTCCATATTTATTATCTTGATTATTAAATAAATAAAATCCCTCTTTCTTTTTGACAAGGTTTTGTACCATAAAATTCCTCAAAAGTTATAGATACCTTATTTGTTAATTTGATTATTTAAATAAAATTTCTCTCAGCCGGTACCTTTTATTCTTTTAAGTTATCAATTACATGCCAACAACTTTTAAAAAGCAATTTTAATAATTTAAATCATATATATGTTGTTAATACGGTGAAGTTAGATGCAGTTTGACAGAAAATTTTGAATTCTTCAAAAAAAAAAAAAAAAAGAACTTCGAACAAAAGATTAGAAGTTTCTAAATTATTATTATTATTATTGTTATAGGATTTATCTCTCCAAGGCAGAGTAATAACGCCATTATATGGAAAAAGAAGAAGAAGAAGAAGAAGAAGAAGAAGAAATAAGTCCGTAGAAATAACCACCTAATAAATTGGTACTTATCAAACTTTCTGCCATTTCCCCTCCTCCTTTTCTTTTTCATGGACAACACAAGTGTGTGTGTATATATATATATATAACCAACCGAGTAAATTCTATATAGAGGGCTATTTTCTTAAATTATGATCTGTAAAATAGCGTGACTTGCTCTGGATTTTTTTCTTTTTTAATTTGTTTTGAGAACCGTGTCCCATTAGGAATAACAAAAAGAATCTAAATCTTTAATAAATTGGGAAGTCTTTAGTGCTCGATTCTTTTTCTTGCAATAAATAGATTTTTTTTTTATATTCATTTATTGTAATAATCAACACATTGAAATTCGAAATCTAAAGATTTTGAGCTTTATATATATATATATATATATATATATATATATATATATATATATATATATATATATAATGAGACACATGGCATCATTTGACTTTTTAAATTGAAAGTTAAAGATACTATGAAATAATAGATGTTCATGTGAATATTCATATGCTTTTTATATCTTCACTACTCATGATTCTTAATATGATTCAATTCACTATTCAATATGAAAAATTGAAAATGTAATGGTACCGATTCCAAAATTTATGTATTTTTAATTATTCAATCTTTTTCTAATTTTGAAATCTATAAATGAGGTTGATTATTCATTAGTTTGTATGCAAGTATTTTATAATGATTGAGAGAATTGTTTAGAATTATCATCTCTTGTACTTTCTTTATTTCATAGTAAAATCATTTTTCTATCATCTTTGTCTCCAAGTTTATTGTTGTTATCATTTTTTTCATAACACGTTATTAGCATAAAGCTCTAATCAATCAAGATAATAGACCATTAGATATGTATTTATCAAAAGACTTAATCATTTTTTTAATCATTCAAATGCTTTTAATAAATCATTAAAACAATCACATCCGAGAGAAATATGTATTGGAGAATTATCTCGTTTTCTCTTCTAGTATTTATTACATAAATATTCAAATGATTGAAATAAATGTTATAGTAAACCAAAAGTTTACTAATTCTTTTATTTTTTGGCATGACTGCTGGGGCCATCTTGGATTTATTATAATATGAAAAATTATTGAAAATTCACATGGGCATCCATCGAAGAACTAGAAGATTCTTCAAGCTAATGCGTTTTCATGTCCTATATGTTCTCAAGGCAAATTTATTATTAAGCTATCCCTAAATAAAATTGGGATTGACCCTTCCACATTTTTAGAGCATATTCAAGGTGATATATGTGGATCAATTCATTTACCATGTGGACCATTTAAGTATTTTATAGTTTTAATAGATGCATCCACAAAATGGTCACATGTATATTTATTATTTACCGAAAACCTAATGTTTTCAAGATTGCTAGCTCAAATAATTCGATTACGAGCATAATTTTTAAATTATGCTATTAAAATAATTCATCTTGATAATATTGGTAAATTTACCTCTCAAGCATTAATGATTGCCGCATGTTTATTAAAATAAAGGTTGAATAGCTCGTTACTCATGTTCATACTCGAATAATTTAGTATAATCATTTTTCAAAAGCCTCGAATTGATTGCTAGACCATTACTTATGAAATCAAAACTCCATATTTATATTTGGGGACATGTAATTTTACATGAAGCAACGCTTTATCCTCATTAGGTCCATAAGTTATAAAAAATTCTCTCTCCTTCAATAGGTTTTTGATCACGAGCTTAATATTTCTCATTTAAGGATTTTTAGATGTGTAGTATATGTTTCAATTGCTCCTCCATAATGAAATAAAATGGGTTCTCAAAAGAGATTGAGAATATATGTTGGATATGAATCTCCTTCTATAACTAAATATCTTGAACGATCAATAGAAGATGTTGTCAAGATTTATCGATTGTCATTTTGATAAAATAATTTTGTTCAACATGAGGGGAAGAGAATAGATAGAATAAGTAGTTAAAAATGTTGAAAAAATTTTATGTGAAATACTTTATTTTTATATCATGATTTTCGCACAAAATAATGTGAACTTTAAGTTTATAGGATAATTCATTTCTTGGAAACCAATTACAAGATGCATTTTCCGATCCAAAGAGAGTAACTAAATCGTATATCCAACTAAAAATCCTCCTATTAGAATTGATGTCCTAGTAGGACAACCTACCGATATTATAAGAAATCAATTTAAAGCATGTCTAAAGTGTGAAAGATTGGTCGGTTCTAAAGATAAAAATCTATGAAAGAATAAAAAATGATCAAGATGAAAATATAAAAAAGACAGATAAAACGATCAAAGATACTTTTGATAATAGGCCTTTAAAAGAAGTTCAAATGCTTGAGAAAAATCAAGAAATTTCAATAAAATTATGTTAATACAAGGAGAAAATGGAATCGAAAAGAAATACTCGTTGATAACATTTTTGCACATAATGTTATAATTGATATTTTGAATAAGAACCTTCGATCTAAATCTATTGAAGAATGTCGACATAGAGATGATTGGCTTAAATGAAAAGATGCAATCTATTCGATATTAAATTCTCTTATAAAACAAATAGTTTTTTGACCCATAGTCAAAACACTTTAAGCAAGTAGCATACAAATGGGTATTTGTATGAAAACAAAATAAAACAAATGAAATTATGAGATACAAAACAAGACTTGTGGCATAAAAGTTTTCACAAAGACATGACATTAACTATAAGGAGACATTCTTTTGTAATTGATGCAATTACATTTTGTTATCTCATTAGTGAGGCAAAATATATAAAAAACTTCATATGCATGCATTTAATGAATGTGATTGTAACTTATTTATTCATTTAAAACGATATTTATATGAAATTCCTAAAAGGACTTAAGATGCTTGAAGCATACAATACATATTTTTGAAAAATAAATTCCATTAAATCATAGAGATCTTTATCAAGATTATTTTGGTATTTGCTTTATTATTTTAGTTTTTAGAAATTTAATTTATGCTATGCTTTTATATTCATTTTTTTATTTTTCAATATCTACTTTTTATTACTAATTTATGTGCCCGTGGTATAATCGCTTCAATGAATATTTATTGAAAGAAGATTACAAAAATAACCGCATTTGTTCATGTATTTT